AACTCAACCAATTTCGGTGACCCAGAGCCAACACTGTCGGCCTAGTGAATCAATCATCATGACCATAGAGAAACTATAGAGGGAGATAAAAGGATGCCAACATGGGCTCGTCGCTGGAGTGTCGGTTCACGAACAGAGCGCCAACAACGCGGTTACAACGCGTTCTAATGAGGTTTGGGCAATTTTTACGAGAGCAACGAGACATCCCACAGAACTTCGACCTACACCATGCTCATGTACTCACTTTGATGCAATCAACAATACCAAAATATACAACTAGTGTTTAAATATTTTAGCTAGAATTTAAATATCAAAATAGCATTGTCTTACAACTTTTCCATACTTTGAAAAGTTAAGGATTTCAGTTGGGGCCAAGTAACCATTAACTCTTTTGTCGTAATTTTTAATAGGTCTAAACCTTGTTAACTTCAACCAACAAATACTTCATGCAATAGTCCATACCTTATACTAACCCATATGAGCAAAATATTTAAGCACCGTTTAACTATTTTGCTCAATATAAATCACAAAAATTGTATTTTAATAATAGTTCAAGTGTTTGCCGATTTAACGAAAAGAGCTTATCTTAACGTCAAATTTGATTTTTTTGAGCTCCCAAGAGCACTAGTTAACACTATTTATTTTGATTTTTCTCAACCACGAAAGTGAGTTACATAGGATTCGCTTATCATTTCATGTGCGTTATAAATTTTGAAAACTCAAAAACTTGTTTGGCTAATCCCTCTCGGATCTCAATATCGGTGCTAAGCAGGCTCGTAACACTAGGGGTGTTACACCCACGCTTCTCTAACTGTGCTCTCCTAGGCCTCTATGCCCACACCTTAGCAACCAGAACACCACCCCTTGGAGTTATAGGTCATCCACCGGCCTACCAAATCTGTCCATTTTTTTAGAGCTTGTACACCCTGGATAATGCTGCACTAGGTGTAAGATATTCCTGGCCCTTAAGAAGCCTCAAGCAGCTAATTAGTGCAGTATCTCTTATTAGAAGTTTTGCTTAATTATGAGGAGAGTAGTCAATAAATAAGGGCTTTTGTTGGCGTAACGCACCCGAAGGATTAGACCATTCCGCATCAAGAGAAAGGCCTATAAGAAGTCTATTTCATACAATCTATGTACCGCAAAATATTAATTTTACCTTTCTGAGCTATTTTATAGTTTTATTTTATTCATGAAACTTCAAAACTATATCTTACCCTAAACTCTCAAAACCATTCATGTTGCCTTCCTACCTTGTTTTGAGGTGGTTTTGAAGACGATTGCTTTAATTATAAAAATGTAGCAAAACATGATAAAGCTATTAAATCATAGAAAATGTCTCCAACCTTCTAAAAATTCCAAAGCAAATCTTAGAGATAGATTAAGATAGAATGTTCCAAATAAAATAATGAGAGTTTGTGAAAACATCTTTAGAAACTTCCAAAACTTAGATTTAGCCTTGATAAAATGAAAAAAAAATTCTAAACAACTAAAAAATCCCAAAACTTTCTAATTGATGTCTAAATGTGTTTTAAAAACTTTACACAACAAAAAACATAAAACACAACCAATACGAATGCACTCAACATTAATCTATGTTGCATTCATGCGGGTTGCATCTCATACTTTTGTAGTGCAAAGTTTTTAAAACATATTCAGGCATTGATTAGAATATTTTAGATTTTTTAGATTTTTTGGATATATATTTTTTATTTTTATAGAGATAAATCTATTCTTCTAAAGCTTCTAGAAATATTTTTCATAAGTTCTAAATTTTTTACTTGATTCTTCATATACAAACCTATTTCTATGATTTGTTTCAACTTTTAAAAGTTGTCAAATATTTACTGACTTTTTAATAAAAAAAGGACAGCCGTTTTTAAAACCGCTTTACTCCTAACTAACTAGGCTGGGTAGGTAATTTAAATGGTTTTAAAGTTAAAGATTATTATTAGTTTCAAAGTTTTTTTTAAATAGACTAAATAGACTTACGACGCTATTGCACGAGCCGAAGCGCCTCGTGACGTCCTATCCGAGCCCGAAACCAGACCGACGCGAAACGGAGCCCGCGGCAGGTTCTCTTTCCGCCGAGAGAGTCGTCCCACCGAACCGAAGCCAAGCCACGGCCGCCGAGGCGTCGCCTCCACGGCACGGGACCGCCTGCACCAAGGTGAGGCCACCAGCCCACCACCCGTCCACGGTCCACCCCACCCAAACAGCCGCCAAACCCAACCAATTCGACGGGACGAGCGCACCCGATTCGGTTCGGCTTCGCCCCCGCATCAGACTGGAACTCGGCGAGCCAGAGCCAGCCTCGCCGCTCGTCCGGGCACGCACGCACGCCCAGGCGACACCAGATCGGACCCCCCGCCGCGCGCTGTTCCCGAGCGAACCCAACCCACAGCCAAAAGCGAAAGCGCCTCGCCTTTTCCGCGCGCCTCGGCTCTTCCCTCCGTCCCCGAGCGGCGGGCTCCCCGCGGCGAGAACTACGTACGACAGGGCGAGGGCGAGATGTGCTGCTGCCCGAGCAAGGCGTGCTGCATCTGCACGCTCATCGTGCTGGTGCTGGTGGCCGTCGGCCTCGTCTTCGGCTTCGGCATCTACACCCGCGGCTTCCACAAGCTCACCAGCAACATCCACCTCCAGGACGGCGCCGGCGGCTCCTTCCGCGCCTACGGCCACCTCGCCCCGCCGCCGTACTAGAAGGACCGCCGCCCGCCCCTTCTCCGAGATCTAGGGCCTGCTTGCTGGGCGATTCGAGCCCCACACGCCCGCCCGCTCTCCATGGAGTTGGACGAACTGCCAACGCCGCCGCCGCCTGTAAAAAGGATAGGAATCATGGGACTTTAATTGCTTGCTGCATTTTGGTTTGGTTTTGTTTTAACCAATCGATTGGATTGGCTAGTAATTCGATTTGCTAAGGACTTGAGTGAGATTCGACACCATCTTATCATTATCCCGTCCGGTGCTGATTTGTGGTGATTCGCCCTGCCCGCGGCATCAATTTGCGTACGTGTTGATTGGTAATTTGGGCAAGTGATTATTCGCCCAACCGTTAGCGCCGGCGGTCACAGTCACATGGACGGTGGTCGGAGTTGGTTTGTTTGGCGACCTGAAAATTTTCCTCAGGCGTGTGGGCGCCGCTCACGCCAACCGGGGTGGGTTTGGCCAGATTGCAGTCGCGGCACGCGAACGCACACGCACGAACTGCACCGCGTGCTCAAGCGCTCGCTCGCCAGAAAAGCGGTGAGTGCCGTTTACGCTAATCCACCAGACCACCACCCGAGTGTGTGTTGTGAACAACTGCTGCTCCTAAATTTCCTAATAATGTCTAATGATGTGACGAGTAAACGAGAAGGCGGCTCTGTTGGATTGCGTTTGCACGTTCCACTTTGCAACGGCTGCTGGTCACTTTTCTACGAGTGTCAGGCGAGGGCCCCGACTGTCACTTTTCTACGTAGAGATGCAAAGTCCAAGTCAGATCGTTTATGGGCTGTGTGAGTGGGCTGGCCTGGTGGGAGGCATGTGGAAGCATCTCAAGCATCAATGTCCAGTTTAGGGCCGGTTTGAATACCATGGGATTCTGGAATCCAGATTCTAAAATCCAAATTTTTAGAATCTGGATTCTAGATAACAAAAATACTATCAGTTTGGAACCTTAGATTTTAGCTATTAGCTATGGATTCTAGTATTTGGAAGCTTTTTGTCTCAAAAATGCCCCTCAACCATTGCATCTTCGGATGTCTACACTTCTAAATACGAAATAGGAGTGTACATGCATGATGCATGCTTTCCATCCGATGTCCGTCCAAATTATGTACTACATGTAAATTCTTACAAATTTCAAGTTACGGTACAAGGAACAAATAACTTAGCCCAATGTAATGTATACATTGTGAGAGCCTAGATAAAAAACATCATTAACTACAAGTTCTAGAACATTTTGAGAGCTACAACTTTAGTGTAGACCACAATCATTTGAAAAACGATAAACAACTTAAAATGAATATTTGGGCCTCTAAACAATCTCAAATAAAACATTTGCCAACTATAAAGTTATAGATCTGGGAACTAAAACTTTGGTAAAGACTATGCCAACATCCGAGGCTATTTTGTAAATTTAAATTTAAAATCTGGCAACTTAAAAAGAATTTTGAGCCTCTAAAATAGATTAGCTATAAAAATTATCAAATATGAAGTTATAGATCGTATCAAGCTCTAAAACTTTGACACAAAGTTAGTAGTTATACAATTTTATATGAAAATTATGTTTTTATATAAGAGTAAGAAATAGACCAAATGACAAGTGGACTCCGCTACCATGTTAGCAAAAACCATCTAAGAAACCATTTTTAAATGAGAAAGGGTATTTTGTATGGTTTTAAAAGTTTAAGGTGTGTGTGTTATCCGTTATTAAAGTTGAGGGAGATTTTCAAATTGAGCGTTAGTTTAGAATGGTGAATCAGACTATCCTTTTTTTTTATGTTCCATCTTTATTCTTTGATCATCCCCTTTGTCTTAACCTCCTAATTTTATTCTGTCATATTTTATAACAAACCCCCCCCCCCACACACACACCACCACCACCACCCACCACTCACACGCACATACAAACTAATGGCATGTTTGGATCAGGCTTCTCTAAACTTTAGAGCTAAAGTCTCTAAATATGTGGGCTAAAGTTAGCTCTAAAATTTAGCAGGCCTCACATATGAACTTTAGAGCTCAAAACTGATCTGAAGTGCTCTAAAGGTTAGAGGAGAGGACCCAAGTCTTTCATAAGCATGCCTCTCTTGAATAGGCAAACAAAAACTCTTGAAATTTCATTGGCATTGTAGAATACAAATCCAAATGTTAGAAAATCAATCGAAATCTCTGAACTTTTAGACCACTGCAGATCCGTTGTCAGTATATCGTTATATTGTTCAAGAGCCAAACCTTCTTTGGCCAGGCCTCATTGCTCATCACCATGCATAAGATTGAGATCCTAACAGAGTTCGTCAAGCTGTGGAAATGGGCTTCTTCTTGCTGTCCACGACCCTCACCACCAGGGGGCTCCTCACGCGGTGCCTGCCGCGTCCGTCCGACCACACCAGCCGCCCGAACACGTACTCCCCCGGCAGGAAGAACCCTTCCCTGGCCCTGAACGTGACGGTGAACTGCTTCTCCTCCCCCGCCGCGGCGAACTCGAGCCGCCTCGGCCGCACGTCCACCGCCACGCCACGCGGCTCGTGGACCCTCGCGTCGTACGCGGCGGCGCCGGGGCCGACGTTCCTCACCCTTCTCGTGACGGTGTGCGCGGCGCCGGTGGGGGACAGATGCGGCACCGCGACCGACGGGTAGTTGAGGTCCTCCGGCCTCGGGGCCCGGGCCGGGCAGGCGTGCGCCGCGTGGCCGTCGCCGGCGCCGGCCATGAACGTGGCGATCACCGAGGAGTTGTAGCCCAGCGCACAGAGGAAGCCGAGGTAGTCCGTGGCGTTGGCGTCGTAGACGAGGCCCGGGTCCGCGGCGCGGTTGGGCTGCACGTGGCCCGCGCCGTAGCCGAACGGCGTCGCGCGGAGGAAGGACGAGTTGCTCATCGGCTTCCTCATGTTGTCCCGCACCCTGGCTGGCAAGACATGCATGAAGCAACAATTTAGAAGGGAGTTTGCACGTGGCAGTGTGCAGTGCGCTTGCGCTGGCACCGTGTACGTACCGGTTGTCATGATCGCCGACTTGATCGCGGCAGGGCTCCAGTCAGGGTGGAGGGCCTTGAGGAGTCCGGCGATGCCGGCGACGTGCGGGCACGACATGGAGGTACCGGACTCGGCGTTGAAGAGGACGCGGCGGTCGTCGAAGGCGAGCCCAGTCGGGCCCACCTGCCCGGTGAACGCCGCCAGGATGCTGACCCCGGGCGCGGTGATGTCAGGCTGCCGGCAAGAAAACGTGCAGCCGTGCAGGTACAGTTAGGATCGGAGGGAAGCTGCAGATGTAGCGTTTGGCGATTGATCACTCGGAAAATAATGTTTGTACCTTGAGGATCTGAGGCGTGACGGTGTTGGGCCCCTGCGACGAGAAGGCGGCCATGAACGGTGCCGGCTTCGTGTCCAGCGCGGTGTACGGGACGGTGATGTACCCGGATGCCGACCTGCACGTCAGGACGAGGGAGCTCGGGCATTTTAGGCCAAAATGGATAAATGGGCCATTAAAAAATAAAAAAAGAGCCTCAGGTACAAAAACAGAAAACAGGACGAGGGAGTTCAGGCATTTTAGGCCAAAATGGATAAATGGGCCATTAAAAAAATAAAAAAAGAGCCTCAGGTACCAAAAAAAAAAGGTGTTAGGAAAAAATAAATTGGCCCATGCAGGTCTCGAACCTGCGACCTTCGCGTTATTAGCACGACGCTCTAACCAACTGAGCTAATAGGCCAGTTGTGTTAGAGTGCAAATAAAAGTCAAATAAACAAACCAAACCTTTTAGAGTTGAGGTAGGCCAAAAGCTTGACTCCATCAGTATAGGTGATGTGCGTGGCAGGGAGAACGTGTGCGTCGGCAATCATCTCGTTCCCGCTAGCCTCATCGTTCGCCAGCACCATGGCAGCTCCGCCAGCCCGGTGAACGGCCTCACCTTTCTCTACTCGCGCGTTCTTCCCACGGGTGCACACGACGATCTTCCCTTTGACCTTCGCCTTGTCCAGTGATCCCTTAATGCACAATTTCCTGCAGAAAAAAAAAGGTGCATTTTCAGATGATCTCAGTTCAGCCATCTGAAAATGGTTTCAGTCTGGAGGCTCAAGCATGCTTACGCTTGCGTTACTGTTGCATTGGCTCCCTTTGCTTGTTCCGAGCTGATCAGCTGGTAGTGCTTGTTGCCAGAAAGCCGGGTTGGCGAGAGACTTTGTCCCTGCCAAAATAAAAGTTTGCATTTTTGTCAGATATAAGTGTTGAAGCCATACAAGTCTGAAAGATAAATTGAGCTACTAATAAGTACTAGCTGTTACTAACTTTGATCCGCTTGTTGTTGTCGAGGACCAGGTACGCGGGGAACTCCCTGTCCATGGTGCTGGCGCCCACGGTGAGCAGCCACGGCGCGGTGTTGGACACGGTGCCGGCGGCGGGCCCCGAGTTGCCGGCCGAGCAGACGACGGTGATGCCGTGCCTGGCCGCGTGGAAGGACCCGATGGCCACGCCGTCGCGGAAGTAGTCCGCGGGGGAGCCTCCCAGTGAGACAGAGAGCACGTGCACCCCGTCGTGGATGGCCGCGTCGAACGCCGCGATGATGTCGGCGTCGAAGCACTCGCTGCCGTTCACGGGGCGCCAGCACACCTTGTAGGCCGCGGCGTGCGCCCCGGGGGCCCCGCCCTTGGCCGTGCCGTTGCCGTACCCGAAGAGGTTGGCGCCCGGGACGAACTGCCCCGCCGCCGTGGACAGCGTGTGCGTGCCGTGCCCGTCCGTGTCCCGCGTGCTCGCCGGGCTCACCTGCTGCTGCTGCTGCTGCCCGACCGTCGCCAGGTACCCCTTGTTGAAGAACCGCGCGCCGATCAGCTTCCTGCGGGCGGGAAGACGTTAATTAAACAAGCACGGCAATCGATTCTGCATCTCAAAATGGGATCCATGAGACCATGACTACTCGCCAAGCACAACGGTGCTTAAGGCTAATGGCAGTGTCAGCGTCTCAGAAATATCGATTTTGCTGCGCTTATGATTCATGAAGGAGACAAAAGATTTTGGAGTACAGCAGAGCGATAAGAATGGATGGTCCACTGATGCAGAAACGCTGAGCTCTGAGAGTTCTCTCATGAGTCATGACCGACCGCAGTTCATCAGGTTTTGGCAGAGCCAGAGATTTGCACTATAGATTGTCGAGCTAGCTGCTGCTGCTGCACCGCATAACAATCACAAAACAGGCGCTGCTTGTGCAGTAGTACTAACCATGAATGGACCCGCATCAGCTACGTCCTGATTTGTGCACATTTTCGAGGCTTTGTGCGTGGATTATCCCGTCCTCTTGGAGCTTTTCCAAAGATAACTGGCCGTGGTGTCTGCTTGTGGCTTGTCGACACCTGAAACAGTGCCCGTGGCTGTGGCGCTGTGCAGCACCGCAGCACGCCAGCAGCCCAGCACCGAGCCACTCGCTCAAACTAGGCGCACAGGACAACGCGGATTTGGCACGAAGCGAGCACGACCTCCGAGAGGGAAAGGTTGATCGGATCATCCAGTCATGTAATCATGGGAAAGTGCACGGCAAAGAGGTCGAAATCTTTGTAGTAGGGTTGGAGAGGCAGCTTGGGCCCTAAAATGTTTGCAGAATTATGGTCCTGTTCGCTTGGCTGATAAGTCATATTTGAATATACTGTTGATTGATTTGTTGTGAGAGAAAAATATTATTCGTTGACTGAAAAATACAGCTTATAAGCCAATCGAACGGAGTGTATGACAGCAATCTGTGGTGGCAACAGCGAAAGGGGATCTGCGTGATCGGACCAGCCAGCTCAGCCGTCTGCGTGCCCTCACATGTGAGACTCGCAGGGATACACTGTGCCACAACCAGATGCACAGTAACAACTGGAAAGGAGTTGAAATTGAGGCTCGTGCATGGGATTTTGTATGGGAGGTACTCCGTACTTCACTTTATGTGATTGCACTGCACTCAATCTGGGCCGTATAGATCTTGTCTTGCGTTACACTTTCTTTGGATTTCTCCATTAGTTTGCAGCCTGTTCGGGAGGCCGTATCGTATCGTAGATTATTTACTGCTGGCTGGTTTGGCGTGAGAGAAAAACACTGTTTCCGGCTGGAAATTTACGATCGTTTACGAGCATGCGAACAGGCTGTTGAATGCCATAAACCCTAAACCTTTGCCATCGACATCATCCACCATTAGATTTTGTTTGGATGTTATCAAATTCACCTCAATCCACGTGTCTTGGGATGGATTGGGGTGGAATTTAGTTTAAATTTCACTCCAATCCACACCAACACATGTAGGTTAATGCCAATCCGACTACATGTAAATAAGGCCTTAGACGTAACTTCCTCATGACTCTTGAGAGAGATGTTCTAAGCCCACGGAACACGTCGGAGATCTTAAACCCCCCTCTCCCCACCCCCCCTCCCCTTCCAGACATCGTTGTTTTTGGTGGATTAAGCAATAGGATGCACTTGTAGTAAATGGCAGGAGTAACATGCGCCAACAATGGGTCAGCATTACGTGATCCACTTGTACACCTACATGTATACATGTACACATCCAACTAGGGCGTCGCACTTGCTTCTGATGATGAGTCGTAACAAAGCGAGTTCGGTAAACCTATTGGAGTTGAATAGAGGCAGGTGGCAGAGCAAGCCTAAACAAACTAACAAAGTCTCTGAAACCGACGCGGCTCTTCTGTCGCCTATTGTTTAGTTTACGCTCTACGACGACGCCATGTTCTACCAAACCATGACAAACACGAGTCAAAGACACTGACACACTGTCATTGCCACGCCACGCACGGGTTAAAGAAACACGATGAGCAGAGGACCAACCTCCAGAAGCTAAGGATAATGGCGCGGATCGGATGTTTGTTTACTGCTCTGGGTAGCAGGTAGCCACGACGGTGCCAACGAAGGCACACAGGTTAATGAAGCGCTCGGCGGCCGAGACCCGAGGCAGCGGCTCCATGCCACGGATGGGGTGCGAGCGAAGCAATGCAGCGAGAGTGAGGAGGGAGGACGGGAGGGGAGACAGACCTGTTGCAGCGAACCTGCGCGTCGTCAGAGGCCTGCTGGTCCTGGCAGATTCCCCGCCACCCGGGCGGCGCCGGGCCCATGCCGTCGTCCCTGAAGCTGCCGGCCTCCGGCCACACCCCTGCACAAGAGCACGAGCAACACGGCCTTGTTTAATCATCTCGTCGCACGCGGGCATGGCCGCGAATACTATAATCCGATGGAGGTTGGGGAGCAGCCCAGCCGGTGGATCGGACTTGACTCCACATGCGGGATTCCCTGCCGGCTGCCGCCAGCCACCGAGCCCGTGGCGCCCCCAGGGACTGAGGGAATACGGCTCTGTGCGCCTGGGCTCTGGCTGCGGCAGCCGCAGCCGCAGCCGTGCAAAAGCCCTTTCCATGCTTTGAAGACCGCCATCTCAGCCTGCTTTCACGAGCTCGGCCACGTACATGTACTGCCCTTTACCACGTACGATTGCTTTTCACATGCTAGTACTCGATACAAGTATTTCGCCCTGTTCAATTGAATTTATTCGGCACTAATTTTTTAGTCATGAAAGAGTATTTTTCTCTCACAATATTTCAGCATAAGAATCAGTATAAACCAAATTTCAGTATAAGCGAAAAGGGTGTTTGTTTGCAAAATGCTATTCATGACTAGGCCTTATTCGCTGGAGCTTCAGCCTGCTCTAGCTCTACGGGCTCTACGCCATGTTTATTTCGCTGAAATTTGGTTTATGCTGATGTTTATGCTGAAATTCTGTGAGAAGAAAATATTGTTTGCTCGCTGAAAAATATTGCTGAAGTAGTGCAGCAGAATAGGGCAGCTACATTGCAGTAATAAGGACTTGTTTTTATCTCTTCTTTTAAAATAAATTAGGTTGTTAAAACTTTTTTTTAACCCTGTTCGGCAGGATTTATTGCTATTGCAGCTGATTTATAGCACTAATTTTTTTAGAGAAAATACGGTTTCCATAACTAAAAAGTAAAGCTGATTCTGGCAAATAAACTCGAGCGAACAGTGCCTTAGCTCTGCTAGCTCTAGCTCGTAGTGTACTGTAGCAATGAGTCGAGAAAGCGGTGCTGAACGTGCCTGAGAAAATGACAGTGACTCAGTGAGTACTCTCTCCTTGTTGCTCCTACGTGCTACAGTCTACTGCCTGTCGTACAGTAATCCAAGCAGCTCTCGATCGATTGAGCTGCACAGCAGCTCCTCCGAGCCCGAGAAGCCACAACCACAATCCGCCCAGAAAAAAAACTGTCGAAAAGCCATGAAAGCCGCGGCAGGCAGCGGACGCTGGCAGCCCTTCCCACGGGAGCGGAACGGAAGACTCCAATCCCTCTGCGTGCGGTGCGCTACGCCCTCCGCTCCACTCCACCGGCACACAAACAAAAACTCATCGCGAAGCGCAAGCTAGCCCCAGCAGCGTCTGCGTCTGCGTCTACGCAGATTCTGATTGCACCCGCTGCCGTGCCGCGCTATGCGGCTGCGCGCGCCTCACAAGCCAACAGAACCACAGAAGGTGATGTGTCGATGAGCTGGCGCAGCAGGATTTGGACTGTTTTTTTTTTTGTCTTTACCAACACGTACACATCGATCTGTTTTGGAAGTGTGAAGGTGAAGATAGGATTGTTTTGGAAGTGTTCTAGTACTAATCTATAGTGCTATTGGTTCAGTGGCTCTAATCCCCGAACGTAGCAAATCGCGGTGAAAAGCTGAAGAGACCATGAGCATGAAGAGGTGAGCGTGTTACCGGTGTCGAGATTGCCGATGACGACGCTCTCACCGAACCTCGCCTGGGCCCAGATGGAGCTGGGCCTCACCCGGCCACCCTCCTCCATCCCGAGGAACTCCCACGACCGCGTCGTGTGCAGCGGGTGGCCTCGGTTCGGGAACACCGAGACGACGCGCCGATGCCCTGCCATCGTCGTCGTCACGGAAGAATAATTAGTCACAGTAGTGTAACATCAGAGAACGACATACTAGCTAGCTCGTGGACGACGGCGGCGACGACGGCCGGAGAAGAGAGATCGAACGCGAGCGAGCCCACACGTACTGGAGACCTCCGCCGCCTCGTCCTCCTCCAGCGTCGCGGCGAAGCCGTTGATGTAGCGGGTGTACGAGTAGAAGATGGCATCCCTCGCCCTGGCCTCGCTGCGCAGGACGGAGCCCAGGAGCGCGTAGTGCGAGCTCCTGGCGCGCTCCCGGCAGGACGCCAGCGCCGCGCCCGCCCGGCCATGCGAGTGGCCGCCGAGGTAGACGACGTACGACTGCGAGAGAGCAGGAACAGCAGCCAGCTTTCCGTCAGCACTCAGCAGAAACAGTGAAGACAACCGAAAGAGAGCGAGCAGCGAGTCAAAGCTCCAGAACAGTGAGTTACTCTACTCGCCTTTTTGGCAGCTGAGGCCGGCTGCTGCTGCAGAGCACAGGTGATCAGCAGCGCGATAGAGAGAAGAGCACGGCGATTTCTCGGACAAGTTGAAGCGCGCATCATCTCCTTGTGCTGATGCTTGGACTAACAGCTGGTTGTTTGTTGAGAATGGAGCGGGCAGTGGAGTGGAGGAGCTGCGATGCTGGTGCGGAGCAGAGTGGATGTTCTTGCTTGGGCACTGTTGTTTTTATAGGCAGCTCCAAGGATGGGTGACATGGAATGGCTATCAGGCTATGGCATGGGGGTGGGTCTTGTCCTAACAAAAAGCAGTGGAGCTTCCTGTTTCCCGAAAAGCCCCCTTTTTGGTGAGCAAAGCGGGTAAGAGGCGTGCCTTTCAGTTATCCCGCCACCCCCTGGGCAGAGAATACGCTGGTTAAAAGGAGAACTTTGAGGAGATCTTCCGCTGGAGAGGTGATGGTGTCGTCGAACTCGTGCAAAACGCTAGGGCCACTGGCTTTTTTGAGAATTGATGGGTAAGTAGGTTTGTTTCTGTATCTTGTGCAGAGATATTTGTTTGTGCGGACTGACAGAGCTTGTGGCTTATTGTTCCAATCTCGAATGATGACTGCGCATTATCAGGTGATGAAGACGAAACATACGAAGAGAAACTGCGTGTTGGGGGAGAGGGAGGGAAGGGCGTTTTGGGTATTCACGAGTCACGACTGCAAAGAGCAGAGGGCAAAGCTGCTGGACTGGGCCGGCCGGCTTGCGTGGCCTGTGGGGGCCCAAACCTTTGCTTGGTCTCGTCAACGGTCAACGGAAGTCGCCAACGAAGGTGATTCACACCGAGTCACTGAGTCATGATTGCAAATTGATTATTTTATTATGTCAGATTCTGAATATTTTTGGTAACGTAGTGAGGTCCAGTTTAGTTTGCAAAAAATTTTGCAAAATTTTTCACATTCCCCGTCATATCGAACTTGAAGCATTAAATATAAATAAAAAATAAAACACAGTTTGGTCACGAATCTTTTAAGCCTAAACTATGAACACTATTTACCAAATAATGAAAACACTCACCAAAATTTTTTGCATTTAAACAAGCCCTGAGGATCAAAATCACCCCACTTCACTGGTCACAGTAAACTACTGAACATTTGCCACCTTTATATAAAGGAGGATAACCTTGCACTAGTACAGTGCAGGAACATCGAAGCAGCACTCGGAAAAATCTATGGCGTGGCGCTCAACTGACTGGGTATCACGTAGCCTTGTAGAGTCCAGTAAGACCCTCTCAACAACAAAGTACGTATAAAAACATCTAAATTCAAAATAGGTCTTCTATGCTACTGTATTGATCTTCAACAAAGTATCTATATGGTAGACCCATTTTGGGTGACAGCACAGGCACAACTCAAATATGGACATCCTCTCTTCTAAAGACTCATTTTGTAGAAAGAGATCTCTTTCGGGTTATATTGTTGGAGAAGATAAAAATCGGGTCTTAAACATTTTGCCTGTAGCGCTAACCAAACATCGAATAGGTCTTGTATTTTGAATGTTGTTGATGGTCTTGTATTTTAGATGCTGTTATTGGAGATAGTCTAAGGGCCTGCACTATACATAGCCAACCGGGCCACACGGCACACACCGACACGGGCACTATGCAGCACTACACTATGGCGGCACGTCACTGGGCGGCACGACGTCCTACCGTGTCATGCCATCTCGGGCTACCGTGTCTAACTCTCGGCCCAGGCACGGCACTATAGCTCCTCAGCCGTGACGTGTCGTGCTCATAGGTACGATGGCCCACCATGGCCGTGCCGGTCCGTGGATGCAAGGAGGAGCCGAGGAGCTTGCTGCGTCGCTGCCATGATGAACACGCTGTCGTCGGGCCACTCCTCGTCGCCGCAGCGTCGCAGCCACAGCTGTGCCTCGCACTGTTGCCGTCGTAGTGGCGTCTTGAGGAAAAGACGAGCGAGGGAGGGAATAGCCTGGGACCGCCGGCCTAGGAAGTCAGAGGTGGAGATGCCCCCGAGAAGTTTCTACGTTTGCGACTTGGGACTCCAGACTCGTGTTGAGCAGAGGACGGAAGAGTAGAGAGCGAAATAAACGGCGGCGGCTGGAAGGGGAAAGGAGCAAAATTCGCCGTCGGTCCCTCAACTTGGCCAACGGTGTTATCCAGGTCTTGAACGTCTAAAGTGATATCTGTGAGTCCCTAAACTTGGCATATGGTGTCATTCAGGTCCCTAAACTTTTAGAGTGATCACAGCAGGTCCTTAAACTTGACCGGACGGTATCACCTTGGTCCTTGAACTTTCGAGGTGATCACCGCAGGCCCCTAAACTTAGCAAACGGTATCATCTATGTCCAAATGTGGTCTAACCTACTCTATAAGCTGGCATGGCACGCTGACTGTACGTTACACGTGGATCCAACATGTGTCAATTAATCAATCATTATTTATATAATATTTATCATGAGAATATAAATTATATAAAATAATTTGCATCAGCAAAAAATAAATTAAAGTATGAAAATAATTTACAACAACAAATATGTTAGGTTTAAACTAAAATAGAAAAATACTAAAATTAACCTAGTATTTATGTATCATTAGTAGTATCAAAATAATATTAAATTTCGTATAGTATTAAAAGTTTTCTCTATTAATAGTATTATAGTATTAGAGATTTTAATAATAGTATTATAGTACTAAAAGTTTTAATAATAATGTTATAGTATTAATAACAGAGAAAAGTTACTTCTAATACTACTATTAAAACTTTTAAAATAATATTAAAACTGGAAGTAACTTTTAATAGAGAAAACTTTTAATATTATAGGTAACTTTTAATATTATTATATTTGGACAAGGACGACACCACTTGCCAAGTTTAGGGATATTTGGTGATCACCTTAAAAGTTAAGGGACCGGGATGACACCGTCTGTCAAGTTTAGGGACCTACGGTGATCACCTTGAAAGTTTAGGGACTTAGATGACACCGTCTGCCAAGTTTAGGGACCCACAGATATCACTTTAGATGTTCAGGTACCTGGATGACACCATCGGCCAAGTTCAAGGCCCGGCGGTGAATTTTGCTAAAAATGAGAGAGAGGAGGAGGAGTTGCTTTTATGCCTAGGTCAGAAGTGTTGCAAAGGCAATCCAACGGCCAGAATTACTGCAAATCAATCCAACAATAAAAAATAATCGGACCACCATCGTGCCGCCCATTAACCATGCCATGCCCGTGCCGGTACTATGGGCTGGACATGCGGCCAGGCATGGCCCTACATCGTGCCCATGCCGGCACTGGCACTATGGACCCGGTGCCCGGACCGTACTCGTGTCGTGCTTTTTTGGGTTAGGCCCGTGCCGGCCCATCGTGCTTGGCCCATTTGGCCATCTATGGCCTGCACCTCCATGCTCTGGACGAAGTCGGGCTGGTTCGTGATGGACCTGACCCAAGCCCACTTGTGGTCCATGGTGACCATGGGGTTGCGCGCCTCGGCGACCTCCACCACGGGGATGTAGCCGTAGTTGCCATTGATCGGTCCCGGGACGAACCCCGTGTACCCCGCCATGGCGCCGTGGACCGCCGAGTGTGCCAACAACGTGCAGTATAGGTTGTCATCGGCGTTGGCCGCCACGGCGCAGACCATGTATGTCAGGTCGATGTACTTCACCATGAGCAGCTCCCCGCGCGTGCTTCGCTGCCCACCACGCCCTGAGCTCGGCCTTGAGCCACGCGCCCACGTCTAGGAGCGCCGAGTTGCCGGACTCGTCGTGCTGCTGCTGTGGGTCGGCTGATCTCACGATGAGGCGCTGCCCGGCGCCCTCGGTGACGGTGACCACGGCGTGGCCTTTCTCCCTGAGGCGGCGATACAGGAACTCGAACAGCCCGCCGGCGCCGCAGAGGTAGAAGTCCTCCTCGGGGATGAGGCAACAGTCGAAGTCGTGGCTGCTGAGCGTGGCGTGCAGCGTGATGTGACCCGCGCTTCGGCCCATGAGCTTCACGAGCCCCACGCCGTTGGCCGCGCTCTCGGCCTCCACCTGCGCCGCGCCGATGGCACGCTGCGCCGCCTCCACCGTCGTGTGGAACCCAAAGGAGCGGTGGATAATGCCCACGTCGTTGTCCACCGTCTTCGGGACGCCCACGATGGCGACGGGGAGGCCGCGCCGCCGGACCTCCTCAAAGATCCTCACCAGCCCGCGCATCGTGCTGTCGTCGCCGATGGCGTACACCTGGTTGAACCCGCGCCGGTCGATGGCGTCCACGATCCTAGCGAGGTCGAACCCGTCGCGCGACGTGCTTAGCACGGTGCCCCCGACCTTGTGCCAGTGATGCACCGTCGCGGGCTCCAGCGGCAGGGGCTCGTCCTCCTCGGAGTAGAACCCGCGGTACCCGTTCTGGACGCCGAAGATGGCGCGCACGTCGTAGAGCTCCCAGAGCCCGACGACGAGCTCCCGGACGATGGTGTTCGTGCCAGGGCAGAACCCGCCGCACGTGACTATTGTCGCGCGCACGCGCGCTGGGTCGAACGTGACCTCGCGGCACGGCCCCACGCGGTGGTAGGCGGTGAGGCCGCCGCTGTCGTCGGAAGCGGTGGAGGATGTCGTGGAGGACGACGTCGGTGGGGGAGATGAAAGCGGCCGGGGAAGGGTGGTACAGCGGGTGGTGCGTGATGGGGTTGCGGATGTTCGCGGCGTGGTCGCCGCCCAGGTGATCCACGAGGGTGGGGAGGCTGTGGAGCGTGAACGACGGCAGGCGCATCTCGCCATTGTCCATGGTTGTGTCAAGGTGTCTACTCTGTGCCGGTGTTAGTCGGGGTGAGCACGGTGTGCCGTGCTCCGGTGCTCGACCGTCAGCGTGTTGTTAAGGTGCCGGGTGGTAGGGGAAGAGTGGAACGTGGCAGGACAGAGGAGTGCATGGTGCCACGTTGCATGGGGATGGTCACCAGAGCTTGCTCTGTTCCACCGTTAACTACGGTGTCCACGTTAATTAGGTATACTATCAAAATGTAATTAATAAAGATGATAATTATTTGATATCATAAATGTTATTATTTAGGACGGAGGAGTACTTTACTAACTGACTATTCATGAATCGTGATACACCTATGAACAACGTATGCAAATTCCACCCCTACGAGCACCTCCGAAGACTGAGCCGGCAGATCTCAAGATTCACGAAGTCACCACGCTGTCAAAGGAGACATCGCCTACCACTAGAAGCATAGCGCCATTAAATCTTGAAATCTAGAAAATGCGAGCACCCGTGCCAAGTCGAGGATTTAAGTTGAGTGAATAGCTTCCACCAGAAGAAACCCAACTAACTGATCTATGATGAGTTCACATTGCATTAGGCACGTTTAGAATAACAAGGTATACTAAACTATACTTTGACCATTCATGATTCATTTACTTTATATTATATTATATTATTTATACTTATAATCTTATGATTATTTGATAGTACAATTGCTTACAATTTTAAGTACACCAAGTTTGTATTATAATAATTAAAAATCATTAACCAAATTATTGATCAAAGATTTTAAGGTTTGAATCTTAGTATGCATATACAACTTATAAAAGGGAATGAAGGTAGTAGACAATTATACAAAGAAACCATATTCTAATGGATGTTTTTTTAAAATATTCTTTCTGGAATCACGTGACTTCTCTCTTCTACCGTCCACAGATCATATAGAGGTGGACATAAAACTCCATACCCGAAATCTAAACCGGAATCACTCGATGACTATTTTGAATACTAGATTTAGAAACCCGATTTTAGTTCGAGTAACCCGGTACCGGATTTACCCATTTAATGTGAAATAGAGAAGACTATGTGCTATTCAGTATTTGTGATTGATTGATTGTGCTATTGTCTAATGTTAATTGTGATTTAGTTGGGACCTATTAATATATGATGCAATGCTTGTATTTTTTGTCCTAAAATGCTAATAATAGGTCATGTTTATATTGCTTAAACTTACTGATATAGTTCTATATCTTCGGACATTTTATGTTTTTTCTTATTTTTTGTAGTTCGTGAATACTCGACATGAACCTGAAATATCAGGTGCCCGAAATATCGAATACTATTTTCTCAAGGAAAATTTTAGGTATCAAATTTGGAAACTCTTCAAACCCAAATTACCTGACCTGAATTAATCAGGTAACCCAAATGCCTATCCCTACTATCGCATCTTTTCATACCATGGTTACAGTGCAGCCATAGTTTATTCGTATAGAAAATCATTTTCTCCTCTCTTTCTCTCTTCCTTAATTCCAATACTATATTACAGTTTTGTTTAGTTGGCACTCTAATTAATTAATGACTATAGAAACCATCCTAGTTCTACTGCCCGCTATAGTGCTACCGTTTTGTTGCATTGTTTCTAAGAGTGAGGTGTGGTTAATAAAATGAAACAAAACCTATGTGGTGCTGTGTGCTGAACAAAACCTTCCGGGAGAAAGAGAAACATTACTTTTTTTACTAGGAAGAAGTGGAGGACTACATTTGCATGCCAAACTGTATGCTGAACCATTTTTCCTCAAACAACAACTAGTGCTCTGTTCGCTTGGCTGATACTGTTGGCTGATTTATTATGAGAGAGAAAAATACTATTCGTTGGCTGAAAAGGTACGGCTTATAAGCCAAGCGAACATGGTGTAGATGAGGCGTCTAGTTTCATTATTGATGCTACTATTTGTCAACATGTTAGATGCCCCACTACAATATAAATTGAGGAACACAACTGTAATAGTTTACTCCTATAAATTAATGTGGACCAAGACTCCACATATAAAATTGAAGTCTCAAAACTAGTTCACACGGAAAAAATCTTTCAGTTTGCCCGGTGGTTATTTCAATCCGAAGTAAGCAACCTGCTTTGAAAGTGATCTGATTTCATGACTTAGGAGTTGTCCTGGATTATTGGTCAAGTCTTCCTTGTATCTTTCAGTCATATGTGTGACCAACAAGAGGAGAATGTGCAGCATTTGCTCGCATTGCGTGTTTGCAAGGAGCGTGTGGTTTTCATGAGTGTTCTCAAATTAGTCTGTAGCATTTACCTCTGGACTTGGATGGCTGCATTTTTACAGATCGGTGGCACCAAGCTTTACAGTGGATTCCCGGTCATTTTCGCAAGGGCTACAACTCCTTGGTCGTGCTGGTGGCACGATGGATTTGGAAACATAGAAATGGATATGTGGTTTAGGGAGCATCAGCTTGCTTTGTTACCACCATATGGGATATTGCTATATTAGAGATGAGGTGTCCGTTCGGTTGGTATATACAAAACTACTGTGTACCGGCTGGTTTCAGCTGATTTAATAATGTTCTGTGAGAGAGAATAAGCTGAAACAAACGAGATAAGTCGAGCCGAACAGGCTGCTCTGTATGACATAAGCCAAAGGGCTCTGTAGCATTACTCATGGATATTTCTTTTTGGTCTAGGTCGTGTATCTGGTCTAAAAAAGTTTTCCTTGGTCCAACCTTGTCTGTTTGAATAGACCAAGGGATACAGATGTTCTCCACATTGCACTTGCAGTTACTTAGCTTAGACACTGGGTGAAAGCGATTTAATATGACATTAACTTATGCCCTGTTCGTTTGGCTGATAAGTCATGGCTGAAAGCACTGTTGACTGATTTGTTGTGAGAGAAAAATACTATTCGTTGGCTGAAAAAGTATGGCTTATAAGCCAAGCGAACATGACGTTAGAGTCATCTATGATTAATGCTTATGTATCTCTATTCTTAAGTAGACAAGGTATGGCCATATACACTGACTCACTTAATTTCTACGAGTCAGCAAGTCAAGTCAACTGAACCCACATGTTCCTAGTAGTCATGACAAGATGCATCTCAATAGGGATGAATTGGTCTTTAGCCTTTAAGTTTATGAAGAAAAGGTCAACTGTGTCGGACTACTTGTTTCACAGTTTAGGTTGCAGATAGAACAGTGACGGAGTCCATCAGTATATATGAGGCACCACGGGAGTGCCACATTGCTCCTCTACTCTATACTCCTATGTTGAGTACCTCGACAAATTGATGCTGCTTTACTTTTGCCTTCAACTTTGCCCTCTTATACAATTGCAGAAGGGTACATTTTCCAAGTCGACTTGAGGAGGACAAAGGCAAATTGATCAAACCTGTAAAGGTCCAACACTCTTTACCCTCCTTTCATTTATTTTCTTGTTTCTGTCTCAGAGTAACATCGTAGCCAATACATACAGTAAGCATAGGAGACCTGCATTGTGAAAATTGATTTGACCAGTAAGTTAAGAGTTAAGACAGAAATAACTTGGCAACTTGAGTTGTGTTGCTAAAGAAAGAAATCACGGCTCTTTCTTGCATGTATTGTTTTCACAATTTGGGAAACAGTAAACAACCCAAATATCTTGATATCCATACATTTAGACCTTGTTTGGGCAATCCTTTATCAAGGGTTTTGAAGATGATCGAAGGGGATTGTGGAGGATTTTGACTTGTAGAGGATTTAATTCCTTTCAACCCCTTCAATCGCCACAAACCGAACAAAGCCTTATCCTTCTTTCTTATTGTTTGTCATTTTTTTTTCTGTAGAAGCTACATGTACTCCAAGAATAAAGGATGTATTTCAACTGCTTTCATCAAGTATGATGGTATTCCAAATGATTTTAGCAGTCCAGGTTTCAAGAAAATGATATCCCTTCAACAATTACATTCGCTTATTAGCTAGCATATGGACGTTGTGCCCAAGATTAGGTCAATTATAGCAGACATATTACGATGGCGTATTGAAGTAGAACTGCACAGAGAAAACGTAATAAATTTCCGTTATTTTGTTCATAAAAACGATAGAAATAGCTGCGTGGCATGTGAAACACTAAAGTTAGCTAAACCCTTAACTAGAAAGATTTTTGAGTTGCAAATGGCCCTTGTTAATATGGAACTAATAAAAGATGGACTCGAATGACTAACGCTTTTAGTTCTTATATAAGCAAATTTATGTGAAACGTTACAATAATGAAGCCACATAACTTTGATTGATAAGACAAAAGTCCGAATAGACATTCAGCCTATTCAGTTGGTTTCTGGACTGATAAGGCCGGCTGGTGCTGGTTTGTTGTGAGAGAAAAATACTGTTGGCTGGCTGATAAGTCCTGGCTGAAACCAACAAGCGAACAAGCTGATTGTGGATCAATCTATGTATCTTATTAGTGAATACCAATAGAGAGACATGGATCAACCATGTTATTTTGTAAAAAAATTTCATGACGATTTGATCAACTAAGTTTTCTAGAAAATCTTTAGAAAGAACAATTGGGCTAGTTTGATAGGGTTCTGGCTCTGTCTCCTCTCGTTGAGTAGTTTCTCTGGTGAAACTGAGGTTGTTTTAGAAAATGTTTGAAAAAAAACATCTCTAATATTAATTTTGTTATAATTTACGTTAAATTTGTGACGTGGAGTCGAGAGGAGCAACAGGTGTGCCAAAAGACCCTTTATATGCTAAAACTTTTCATTGTTTTACAGAATAAACTATCATAGCATATAATATTATAAGAAAAGGATTAACAGTTGCTACCCAAATATTTGAAAAATACCCTATAGTTTTGATTATTTACTACTAATAATCAATCGGGATCCCAAATGTTTGCATATATACCCCTATCCCTGGAGGCTGGTGTTTGCACTTTGCACCCCGAGTCCCCGCGGCTTCGCCTCCCGGCTACCGCCGGCCAGCAAGATGCCGCCGCCTCCCGTCCGTCCGTCAAACCCCGGTGAGGATCGGATAGCCCCACCCCGCCGATGTCCGGCTCAACCTCTAACATACCAGCCCTCTACTCCTCTGCTCCTGCTGCTACGGAGCATCCACAACGGTTGGGCTCGTAGCGCGCCTGAGTCTCTCACGGACTGCGAAGGTCGGAGCCTATGCCATCCGCACGCAACTGCGGTGGCGCCTTGTTGCTACGACTTAGGCGAGCTCAGAGCTCCAAGCTTTTAGTGGTTTGGCAGTTGGCAGGCTTGCGAATTGCGAAGAAGAGGAACAGAGATTGGTTGCGACTTGCAGCACAAGCGGTACATTTCCCGGCTTTCGATTCCTCCGAGCCTTAGGGCCAGTTTGGTTGCCCAAATTTTTGGCAAAACGACACTATTGTTTTTGTTGTTATTTGGCAATTAGTATCCAATCATAGTCTAATTAGGCTTAAAAGATTCGTCTTGTGGATTTCATTTAAACTGTGTAATTAGTTTTATTTTATTTATATTTAATGCTTCATGCATGCGTCAAAGATTCGATGTGACGGAAAATCTTGAAAAATTTGGCATTTTGGGAGAGAACACCTTTCATCTGTCAAACACTAATTTCGTAGCAATGCTGCCGCATACGCTACCCAATCTGAGTTGAGGCTGCACGCCTGCACCACGATTTTTTTTTTTGATTTAGGCATTAATTCTCCCCAACTGATTCTCCCAGATATTTCTCCTTTTCTTTTCAAGCAATGTTATTCCACAGAAATTTTCTAAAACCAGTCTGGGGAAAACGCCTTTCGGTTTACACAATCAGCCATCCCACTAGTGGACAGGTATGATGTTTCTGAGCCAAATGTGTATGAACTTTGAAAGTGATAGGATTAATGATATAGGTCTTCTTTGGGCCTTTTCTTTTTCTGCAATCTGCATTAAGTGTTCCATGAAGAATCTGGTTAAGAAAGTTCTCATTGATCAAATCTAGTCCTTATCTAAAAAAAAATCAAATCTAGTCTATTTTGGTGGACACCTAAACGTTTTCCTCACACGCATATGATTAATTAGACTAAACGCTGAGCAATTGGGATTGCAACACAGAGTAATGGAGTGATTATTTATCTCTGACCTTAAGTAAGGCAAGGCACTGGTGTGGCCATCAGCCCATAGTCTAGGAGTCAGCTAGTCAAGTCTACTGGAGTTTGGTCTTTTTCCCCCTTCCGTGGGGAAACTATGGGGGACCTGAAAGGAGTTTTCATGACGATTGCATTGCAAGGTCCAGCCATGAGAACATTAAAGATCTAAATTCCTCTTTTGCACTGTGCAATTCCAGGATTAGCCCCTCATTCGAAAGGTCTAAGTTCTTTTAGATGATAGTATATCTGTAGCAGTGGAAAGGCCATTTGTTTCTAAGTTTCAGTGCACTATTGTTGCCAATTTATACAACAATCACAATAGAGCTATGTATGGTACATTTAAATTGGTTCATTTGTTACGATATAAAGAACTTGGGAACTGAACTTGTTGCTCTACTCCAATGAAATAAATTAATGTCCTTTTTCTTGCTTATAATGTTTGCACAATTGAGAGGAAATTAAATGTTTCCATGTCCTTTTATCCTTAACTTATACCTTTTCCTCCATTTCCCCAGCTGAAAACATTATGAAAATATAGTAGCATCAGGGCTATCTACTGTTCATACATCTTGTTTTCTCCGCAAGTACATGGACTCCCAGGATAATTCATCTATTTCATCAATTTTCTGCAAGCCTGAAGGTATTTCAAATGGTTTAGCATACCAAATTTCAATCAAATCAAGTCTTATTTAATAACTATGTTTAGCTTAATAGTTAGTATTTCCTATTTGATAAGAAGTTGTATTACTTTTGTAGATATGATGTAAAAGGTTGGAACCTGTGCATAAGATTTCATCTTAGTTATTGCAGTTATATTGTGCTGGCATACTGAAGTCAAACTGCACAGAGAGAAATGGTAGACGTTGTTGTTCTTTTGGTCATAAAAAAGATAGGAATAGCTGTGGCATGCGAAACACTAAAGTTAGCCAAACCCTTGCTTGGAAAGAATTCTGAGTTGCAAATGGCACTTCCAGATAACATGAAACTGATAAAAGATGAACTTGAGATTATCAATGCATTTCTTAAAGAAATTGGCATGAAAGATTGCAATAGTGAAGTCATACAAACTTGGATAAGGCAAGTCCGACGGTTGGCTCATGATATGGAAGACATTGTGGATCAATTTATGTATCGTATCAGTGAGTACCAACAGAGAGACACATGGAATTGTGTGAAGAAACTTTTCAAGAGACACCCGTCTTTATTTTCACTTGATGAAATTGCCATAAGAGCAGATATAATAAACAAAGAAGTTGTGGAACTTTCAAAAAGAATAAGTCGTTGGGCCCAACCAATAACTGGTATGAATTTTATTCCAGCTGTAAACTGTGACAGCGAGCAGCAACTATATCATCCTGGACATGATCATTCAATCAATGACAATGAACTTGTAGGAATTGATAAAAATAGAGAAATCTTGATCAATTCACTGCATCTGGAAGATCCCCCTCTTCGGATCATTGCTGTTTGGGGTATGGGTGGCCTTGGGAAAAGCACCCTTGTCAATAATGTCTACAAAAATGAAGAGGTAATTTCCAAGTTTAATTGCCATGCATGGGTTTCTATCTCCCAATCATATAAGATAAATGATATTTGGAGAAACATGCTGAAAGAAATTCATGGAAATGACAATAGAGCATTTGATGCTGGAAGTATAGATAGTGCAGAACTAAGAGTGAGGCTGACAAAAATTCTGGAGAAAAAGAGGTACTTGATTATATTGGATGATGTCTGGACGGCTGAAGTTCTTTTTAAAATTAGAGAGATTCTTGTTGATAATGGCCTAGGAAGTAGAGTGATAATCACGACAAGAATTGAGGAAGTAGCTTCAATAGCTGAGGCTGGTTGTAAAATCAAGGTTGAGCCTTTAAATGACCATGATTCATGGCTTCTATTTTGCAAGAAGGCATTTCCAAAAACTAAAAATTATATTTGTCCCCCAGAACTACATCAGTGTGGTAAAGACATAGTGGAGAAATGTGATGGTTTACCATTAGCTCTTGTAGCAATAGGGAGTTTATTGTCCCTCAAAATAAGGAATAATAAAGTATGGAGGTTTTTTTACTATCAACTCATTTCAGAGCTACACAACAATGAGAACTTAAACCATGTGGAAAAAATTCTAAATCTAAGCTACAAGTACCTGCCAGACAATTTGAAGAATTGTTTCTTATATTGTGCTATGTTCCCAGAAGACTATCTGATCCATAGAAAAATATTGATTAGATTGTGGATCAGCGAAGGGTTTATTGAACACAAAGAAGGATGCAGCTTAGAAGATGTTGGTGAAGTATATCTGACAGAACTCATTCAGAGAAGCATGTTTCAGGTTGTAGCAAGGAACAGTTTTGATAGGATACAATGTCTCTGTATGCATGATCTTGTTCGTGAACTGGCCATTTACCAATCAAAAAAAGAAAATTTCTGTGCAATTTATGATGACACTGGGGTGGTTCAGGTGGGATTACATCCTCGTCGTGTATCGGTACTCCAGTGCAACAATGGCATTCAATCCAGCATGGATCCATCCAGGCTTCGCACCTTTATAGCATTTGACACCCGCATGTCATCATGTTCATGGTATTCTTTTATTCCATCTGAGTCTAAGTACCTTACAGTATTAGACTTATCCGGCTTGCCTATTGAGGATATTCCTAGTTCAATTGGGGAGCTATTCAACCTTAGGTATCTGTGCCTAAATGACACAAATGTGAAGGAACTCCCTAAATCTATTACAAAGCTCCACAATTTACAAACATTGAGCCTTGAACGCACACGTGCACTGAATTTTCCACACGGGTTTTCTAAACTGAAGAAATTGCGTCACCTCCTTATTTGGAAATTGCTAGATGCAACGTATAGAAGTTTCCATAATTGGGAATCTATGGAGCCATTTGATGGCTTCTGGTATTTGAAGGAATTGCAATCTTTGAACGAAGTTCGAGCAACTAAAATGTTTGTTGCAAAACTAGTTGATTTATCCCAGCTGAGATCTCTTACCATTACTTATTTGAGAAGTAGCCATTGTGCACAACTGTGCAATTCTTTATCGAAGTTGCACCATCTTACAAAATTACACATAAGAGCCATCAACGAAGCTGAGCTCCTCCTGCTTGAAGATTTGACATTGCAAAATCCTCTTGAAAAACTAGAATTGGTAGGGCGGTTGTCTGAAGGAACTTTGGAATCTCCCTTTTTCTCTACTCACGGAAGTCAACTACTGCTAATGGAGCTAGCATGGTGTCAGTTCATAGATAGTCCAGTGCCACAGCTTTCTGAATTGTCAAATTTAACTGAATTACGTCTTACAAGGGCATATACTGGACAACAGCTAAACTTCCATGGCAAGATGTTCCAAAAGCTGAAGAAGGTAGTCTTGTGGGATTTGCCGCAGGTCAATCAAATATGCATACATGAGGGATCTTTGGTCAGCCTTGAATATCTTCACATTGATAGCCTCAAGAAATTATGGGACGTACCTCTTGGTATCCAATTTCTCAATTCTATCAAAGAAGCATACTTTACTAGGATGCATTCTGAATTTGCGAGGAATCTTCAAATGGGAAAGCTAGATCAAATTCCCAAGGTCTACTGGTCAACAGAAGGCAAGTGGAATCAACTTCCCAACCAATATAGCTTTATGCTTGCACCTTTAATATGTATGATGTTTATCGGCTAAACAAAACATTTCCAGAAGTGGCATGATCCCATCCAAAAAACAGGGATGAGACCATTGTATCCCATCATATCTCCAAACCAAACATATGCTTAGATTATCTATTATGTAATGATGATAGAGGTGGGTAATTTAGATGCAAATCTGAGGGTTACTTTAGATTATTTTTATAGTGGCATAGGTGTATAATTTAGAACAAAATTAGGGGTTACTAATTTACTATATATGTTATATTTAATAACAGAGCGATTGGTTAATTTAGATACAAATTTAAGATGTTACACTGGATTATCTTTTATAGTGGCCTAGCTAGGTAATTTTGATGCAACTTTTGGGGATTAATATATTTTATTTATTATTAATGGCAAATGTGGCCACTTTTTATAAAGTGGAATAGATTCAGTAGCTTCTAGTGCTCATGAGTCTACCGAATTGATGGCGGGATGTTTAGGAATTTTAGAATTCTAGTTTTTTTTTTCTAGCAAATCTCATGATTATTAACATAGAGACTCTACACCTGTACATAAGCTTTTATTCCTCTCTTAATTGAAAGGTAGAGCTCCAGTCATTGCGCTAAAAAAAAAAACCATAGAGACTCTACTGAGAGCCTTCAATCAGTAATAGTAAAATAACCACTTTATGACTTCACTTCTACTTTAAATGCAGGAGTGTCCTCGGTTCAATCAGAAACCACTAAGCTGCCTGGACCACCGCAATGGCGCATTTTAAGTGGGTCAGGATGGGTTTTCATCTAACCTGTCTTGTGAAACTCTAGTGTGGATGCAATACGGATACATTATTAGTGTTCTAATTCTGGCCCAAGCCTTCAGTGTTGGTAGAATTAGTAGTATCTTGGCTGTCTAAATAAGTTTGTGCTAGCTTATAATTTTTATATTATTTCAAACGTACAGAGATTAACCCTGACACGATGTGAAGATGATATTGCATTCGTCTCCATCATGATTATGACAATCGAGGACTTCAATTCTTTTAGCACTCACCAGCATGTAAACCGGTAGTTGTCTTTGTTTTTTAATTCTTTGCATTTAGAATATGATTTTTTTTTTTGCCTTGAACTTTCATCATGGCATGTTTAAATTTCGAATTTTCATTTCGCTTCGTAACAGCATATGAGCATTAGGTTTACATATTTTGTTCTGCCTATAGAAAAAAGAGAGCCCTTAGTGGGCCGATCCCACTTGCCATCTCCTTCGGAAACTGAGCAGCAGCAGCACGGGCCACGGGGTGTTTGGCCATGGCAGTAGAAGCAATTGCCCAGACAATTCCTTGGTTCAGATCTATTTACCAACACGGCACCGCCATAGCAGGCATAAGCGAGATACCTACAGTAAATATGTCTCTTGAGGCAGCAGCGTTGCACAAAACACAGACTCGACTGCCGATGGTTGCATCTACACAGATAGTGAAATAAACATTCCTTCTGAAGAGCTGTTAGTGGCTCTACCTTGTACACAAAACACTTGGTCATTTGTAGCACAAAATGTCTCATGTCTGGAGAGGCCAAGTTCCTCTACCCGATCGATCCTCCTCGCAGATACACATAGACGTGCGAGGTCCCAATGCAAGGTTCCGGTCACTAACCTTCACTGACAACCTACGCGATCATCTTGTCCAGCCGCTCCTCTGAACGGATTCCCTGTTGCATTGTTCCAAGAAGGCAGAAGAATAGCTCAAGCCGGCTGCTCCAGGCATCATAGCTTTCCTCTGCACTTCAGACACCCCCCTGCAGCCACCTTCCGTGCCTCTGAATAGAATCCCGGTGTCGTTCTTCCAAGAAGGCAGAAGAATAGCTCAAGCCGGCTCCTCCAGGCATCATAACTTTCCTCTGCACTTCACACTCGCTCTGCAGACACATTTGGGGCCTTTGAACAGAGACCTGGTGTCGTTCTTCCAAGAAGGCAGAAGAATAGCTCAAGCCAGCTGCTCCAGGCATCATAGCTTTCCTCAGCACTTCACACTCCCTCTGCAGACACCTTTGGTGTTCGAAGTAAGAAAAGACATCATGTCCTGGCAGACCAGCCATACTTCTCTGCTGATACCAAGGTTGCTTCAAGAGTGCAAGGAGATTGGGAAATGCTGTTCTGCAGATCGGTAGAGGTATGCCGCCTGGAGTAGACAACTCATTCGGCCATGGTCCTGGGATGCTGAAACTTGGCTGTTGATGTCCATGTCCTGGCAGACCAGCGATACTTCCCTGCTGATACCAAGGTTGCTTCAAGAGTGCAAGGAGATTGAGAAGTGCAATTCTGCAGGTTGGCAGAGGAATGCCGCCTGGAACAGACAACTCATTTGGCGATGGCCCTAGGATGCTGAAGCTTGGCAGTTGATGTAAAGGAGCCCTCACAATGCCATCCAAGTTTAGTGAAAGACCTGGCTGTTGCCTTTGAGCACCTATGTAAGGCTGAAGTGGTATCGGCATGCGAACTGTGTTAGCTGATGGAGTAAAATGTAGCCAAGGCCATGCTTGAACAAGTTGAAGTGAATGAAATGGCCTAGTATCTGTTTGAGTTTAATGCACCAGAGGTCCATTAACTTGTGAGGAGGTTTCGATTAGATCTATCAACTTCCAAAGTGGCTTTTTGGGTCTATAAACTTTGTATGCCGTATCACTTATGTCCATATCCCTCCACGTGGTCTTCTCATGCTGACATGGCTTCGCTGACTGGTCCTTGTCCTCTCCCAAGGTGGAAACGGACGGTTCCTGAGTCCAGACTACCGTCGCGAGTGCCGCCGCTCGGGGGCACGGGAGGCCGGCCACCGGCGCTCACCAGCCAGCCACCTTAGGGGCGCGGCGCAAGGTCCGCTGCAGTGAGCGTGTACGCGGACCCCCCCGGCCGCTGCAGGCGCAGAGGCCGCCGGCCACAGGCGCGAGGCGGCGTGCGTGCCCAGCCGCAGGACCCAAAGACGAGTCCGCCGGCCGTCGGCACAAGACCGCCACAGTGGCTGCTGGCCGTGGCGCGAGGCCACAGGCGAAGGGGCCACGGCGCGGAGGCCGCCTTCTGCGGCACAAGGCCGCACGGGAGGCCATCTCCGGGCCGCTGCGGGTCCGCCGGCCGCGGCTTAGGGCCACGACGCGGAGGGCGCGTGTCCTTCGAGCATAGGCCATGCGGGGTCACGGCGAGGAGGCAGCCGGCCGCGGAGTCGCCAGCCGCGGGGTCATGGACTATCTGCTCTGCCCGGCCTCTCCTTAGCCATGGACGCCGCCGCAGCAGCAGCCTCCACCACGCTCCTCTACGGCGCGCGCTCCCTGGCGGCGTTCCTCTTCGTGGCGCGCCGTGGTGCGCGCTGGAGCAAGAGCAAAACAACTGGCGGCGGCCCCGCCGGGTCCCATGGGCCTGCCAGCGTGGTGGTCAGCTGCCCGTCCCTGGCGCGCGAGGTGCTGCGCGAGCAGGACCTCGTCTTCTCCGGCCGCGACGCCCCGGACGCGGGCGCGCGCTCCATCTCCTACTGAACGTGGCGCTATCAGAAGCGTAGCTGTAGGCGGAGGGGCACGCGCCTTGAAGAAGCGGGAGTAGGGCGTCGGCGCGCGACGCGTCGCTGGGGACCCGTGACGCGCCGCTGCAACGCAGATACTCGACCGCCGCGAGAGCCTCGCGACGCGCTCGCCGCCGCGCCGCCGCCCGCCCCCCCCGGCGGCACGCGCAGCTCTCGCTGGGCACGCCGCGTTGAGGTCAGTCAGCGCGCACCCGTGGCCGGCAGCTGCTGCTCCCGTTGGCGGCCGCCCGCCGAGACGACACCAGCGGCGCGACAAGCATCGGCACGTTGAATCCGTCCATGAGGGCGGCGTCGTAGAGAAGTCGTCTCCGCCCGGTACCGCCGGCGAAGCGTGAGCTTTCGGCCAGCGTGGCGGCGCGCGACAAAAGCACTTGCGGCCCCCAAGCCGCGATCGGCGATGGCGCCGCGCGAAAGCGCCCGAAGTCGGCGGGCGTGGTGTGCGAGCGTGCGCGCGCCAGATGCGGCCCGACCACGACGGGGCCAGCGCGAAGCCCGTGGTGGACGGCGGCGGCGCGCCGGCGTTTGAGAGGATGCCTGGCCACACCGTGTAGCCGCAGCTGTTGGTGATGGTGGCGCCGGCGGCCGCGTAGCAGCGGAGGCCGCACGGGAACGCCGCGCAGGGGTCGTGGGCGAAGTCCCACGACGCGAAGCAGGAGTAGGGCGGCACCGAGGACGCGGCCACCGTAGACTTGGCACATCACGAGGGTCTCGAGCGCGCCTCCGCGCTAGCCTCGCCTGGTGCCGTCATGGCCAGCGCCCTGCTCGCAGGCGCGTGGTGACCCGTGTGCATCCGATGTTCGGCGCCGAGGCAGTGGCGCTCGCCCACAAGTTGTTTGACAAAATGCATTGCCAAGAGCTGCTTCAGAAGGACATGTCAGCAGTCCACGTCAGCATGAGAAGCCCGCGTGGAGGGATATGGACCTAAGTGATACGACATACAAAATTTATGGACCCAAAAAGCCACTTTGAAAGTTGATGGACCTAACCAAAACATGGAACTCCGGTGCATTTAACTCTATCTGTTTCCATATTGCAAGGAGGGGCATTGCTGCCTCCAAGGGATGAGGTTGAACCAGCACTGTTTCCACTCAGTTTCTTCTGTTTCTTCAAGTCTCCTATTTGAAACATGAATGTGCAAGAAGGACCAAGACTGAATGGTTGGTCACACCTTGCACCATCTCCTCTCTTTTGGTTATAACCAGGATAGTATGCTTTTTGAAAACTTTCCTTCGCGAACATAATAAGAGAAAACTCAGAGGCTAAGCGCTCAAGATCCCATCTTTCGTATGGCCCTCCTCTCTAGTGTCTGACATGGATTTCCCCATAAGGCATAAACAGGTGGCGTGCATTGCTGAAAAAATCCCTCGATAGCTTCTTGTGCAATCTAAATGTCAAGAGCAGATGATTAATAGGGAGATAAGTAACAAAATAAGTATTAAGATTGGAACTTGTTAAATTTGAAGAAAATAAATCAGTAAGAAACCATCTGTTAAGTACTTAGTTACCATTGTAATAATTTTTCGTCACAAGTATTGACCTTGTTTAATATGTATAGATTGCATTCAACTAAAACATTCCAATAATTAATCTAGTACAGTGTCCCTACATAGAATTAACTAACAAAAAACTACTATAAAATTCTGAAAAAAAGGATAAAACACAAATGACTATAAAACCACCAATACTGTTCTTAGCTTATTGTTCTTTCATCAGAGGTTGGCACATGGGAACTTTTTTTGTATCATAAGATCTGAGGTAAAATGTCCTGTTGAGGGCAGATGAGATAGGGTCATAGTTCTTCAGGTAAAACATCTACTATATCACAGCTTTAGAATATATAATATATTACTTACTCTTATAGTTTCGAGTCTCCTACTCTATGCAAGAGTGCAGTTTAAGAAAAAAACAAAAAAGAAAAGAAAAACAGGAGGCATATAAGGATTTATAGTCAATTTCTAGAAACAATTTCAGTAGTGATCAACAGTCCTAGAAAGAAGATTCAAAAAGGAAATGGTTTCATTGATGACCTGTCCAATGCTACTTTCATTAGCAGATATAGGTTTTATTAACAACAAGGCATTTTTTAGATAATGTTATAAACAAAAAGGCATAGCCCCACTGCTAGTCAGTTCAAGATTTCAGAATTCACTAAGACAAAAAAATGAAGGATTAAGGCGAACTACGATACACCTTTGCACATTGAGACTAGCAACAACTGTCATTCCAGGATTTAGTCCAACTTTAAATACAAAAAAAAGTAATAAAATGGTGCACATACTTGATCATATGCATGTCGTCCTCTTTTCCTTTGAAACCAGCGTGAGGAAAATTAAAGACAATCCGATCAAACCGTCTGTTCGTCAGGTCAGTGTGAAATTTCATTATTTTCACATCAATGCCATGCAACACCGTGGTTTCCAGTCTTTTCAGCTTCTTTGTATTTGACTCTGCATCGCTATATTTTCCTATCAACACCTCTACACGAGAACAGACCACAGTAAATGCAGAAAAAATAGTTATGTACAGCTGTTGCTGACCCCAGAACCACACAGATGATCAATCTTAGGTAAGAGGTCAGGTCAATGCTAAAAAATAGAATGAAACAATTAGGAAACGTAGAAGCTATTGAAGGATAACCTTTTCCTAAAGAAACATACAAACAGTGGTGTTACACGGAGTTAATCAGGACATTTAACTGGATAGCCAAAATTTGGCTGAATGTTAATGTTTCCCATGGTTTATCTTCATTTCTCTTTTCCAATTAGGGTAATAAAGAAATTTCTTTTGTGGCCTTACCAGTCCTTGTATCGTCCTGGACATAATAAGTTGGGGAGACATGCATACTAAAGTAAATATCTTGTGCCACAAGGAACAAAAACCATATGAAATTAACAGACAGTTACTCCAAAGTCCAAAAAAATGAATAGATGTTTGGGCCACAAATCCAAAAAATTACACACATATATTATACCTCAGAATCCTACTATGCAAAAGGACAGAGAAACTTGAAAATATATAAATTCCTTGCTCAGTGGGTATGTTCCTTCATAACATATAATCTCTAGCCATTAGAAATCAATATATCATGCAAATTGGTCTTTTTCCTCACAGTTAACTTGAGTAAGATCGTTCCAAACAGAACAGAAGCCTATTGCAAATAAATAAACAAATACACTGAAATAAGATTCAAGGTCACCCATAAATCCAATGTATCTACAACTTACTTCCAGATCTTACTAGCACGTGTTGCAATAGTAATAGCTCTTCCATCACCAGAATGTAAAGGAACTCGTTTCTCATTCTAAATACATTGGATAGCCAATAGGAATAGATCACAAGAAATGCAGAGGAAATATAGGCAAGTACAACTGCATACTGATCACAAAATCACAGTATTCCTTTGAGCTTTGGTAAGAGGTCGGCTCAATGCTAAAATAAAATTAGAATGCAGCAACTAGGGAACCCAGAATCTATTGAAAGATCCCGATTTTCCTAAAGAAAAATACAAACAATGGTGTCACATTTTTTTATTGGTGGTCTGGTGTTATTAAATTGGTGACAAATGATATAAGGGCTGGTCTGAACTCCTTGATCACCTTGGGGCTTGGACAATTTGGAAACATTGGAACGATTGTGTTTTTAACAGGGCTTCCCCTAGCTCTCAATGGGTGCTGCAGCTCATTAGGGATGAAGCTCAAGTGCTCAACTTTTGATCATGGTCATGGCATGTGCCAAAGATTTGGCACGGCTGACCATGATTGAGAAGAGAGAACAGACAATACATCATGCACTGGACTTTCTTCCTACTAAGTACTAACAATTAACTGGAGTAAAGTCTTGAGAAACAGAGTAGCAAGAAGCCTATTTCCAAGAATCAAGAAATACACTGGAATAAGATTCAAGGCACCCACAAATGTATCTATCAGTATCAAATTACTTTCGGATCGTCGTTTCTTTCTTTCTTTTTGAAAAACAACTTCCAGATCTTTCTAAATGGCGTTGCAACTGCAATAGCTCTTCCAATCACCCCAATGTAAGGGAACTCATTGCAAGATAACCTCAACCTCAACAGAGCAAAATGCAACAAATCCTTGTTCAACCAACACAAGATGGCACATGAGGGCGGAGCTACATATACTCGTTGCGGTCAGCTGACCCCTATAAAATTTGGAAAATGCTATACAAATCGACGATTAACCAGTAGGTTTAATTGGTGATCATTGAAGCTGAGCATGGTCACTTCAGTGGCTGGTTCTGCCCTGATTTTAGCATTCTCATGTGCATCCATCTATGGCATTCGTTTCCATAGACAGGCGCAAAAGACAAAGGGAAATTTGCATATATTTGCCAAAGGCGGCACCTTTATGCACCGGAAGCGAAAGCGGGAGCGATGGAACTAACCATACGTGTCGAGCGACGTCGCGACCATCAACGCTCCGGAGCCGAACTTGGAGGCCAGCGCCAGCGAGAAGGAGAAGTAACCGTCGCCGACGGTCAGTATGCTGTGCATCGACGAGTAATCCTTCAGCCACTTCTCATCCTCCTCCTCCGCCGCCGCCGCATTCTCCTCCTCTTCCCCTTCCACGGCGGTCGCCGCTGGTACCCCATCCGTTGGCCCCGCTCCGTTCCCTATCCCCATTCCCGGCACCGGCACTCGCTCCGCCGGGCGCGGTTCCTCCTTCTCCGCGACCTCCGACGTCGCTTGACCCCCTGCCCCGTCCCCACTGCCGATCGCCTGTGCAGCGTGCCCTGCCGCCGGCGAGGCCACCCCCACTGCCATTGGCGCGGCGCGGCTAGTGTACGGTGATTGGACTCGAGTCAATCGGAGTTATGGTGGCGTGGTATCCACTGTCCAACGACACGACTTCGCGTAGAACCGCTCCGACTGACACGACTTCGCGTAGCGTCGTACTAGAACCTTTCCAAGAGTTGTTTGATTGTTTTTTTTAATCTTTTTTCAATTTCAATACTTTTGGGGATAAAATACTTTGGTTTTCTAGATAATAAAAGGTCGGTTAAAGGAGTTAAAGTAGACTTTTTTACAAACAATACCAGATATTACAATGAAAACAAGGCAGTCCTGCTGCAAAAACAGACTCGGTTGTTCAGGGTTACATTCTTGACACTGATCCTGGGTTCAGCACTTCAGCTTTCCTTGTGCTGTTGTGATCAGTTTTTGCTACACAAAAGTGGCCCTACCTTTACACAAAATACTTGGCGGTATCTAACGTACTTACATATACATACATATCATTCCTGGACTCTGGAGTCTGTTGAGGTCAAGTTCGTCTATCTGAATATCTGATCCATCCTTGTCACTAGCAGATAACCTTGTGCATCCATTTCATGCTCCGGAGATTTGGAACTTGAACGTGCAACAAGGATTAGTTTGAATGGCTTGTCACAGTTTTTACCATCTCGCCTTTCTTTTGCTGGTAGCCGGGATAGTCTTCTTTGTGAAAACTGTGCCGTTTGGTTGGAGGGACGGGATGGAATGGGCTGGGACGATCCCACGTTCAACGGTGTTTGGTTCAGGGGCATGGGGGATGGGATCGCCCCCAGAAGCGAATATACCCGTAGATTCGAGGACGACCCGGTTCCCAGAAATCGGAGGGACGGGGGCGTCCTCTCTGACGCGCCGTTTCTTCCGTCGCTGAGTCGTCTTCTTCCTCGCGTCCGTGCGCCTCTTCTTCTTCCCCGGGCGGGTGGCGAGCTCCAGGTTGCGTGGCGCGGTAGGCAGGCGGCGAGATCGAGCGGACGGCACGACGCGCGACGGCCGCCGGGCAGGTGATGCAGCAGGACCGCCTAGGAAGGGCCGGATCTGGATGGGGGCGCAATCCTAACGCTGTTAAATACTCTCCCCCCATCCTATTCTTTATTCTCGGGAGAATTTCTCGTGTGCCACTAAAAAAATATATAGTAACGTCCTGTGTATTTCTAGAAAAGTTTCAGCGGCATTCAGCGTCACTGCTTTTAACTTTTTATGTCCTCTATACCATTGCCGTCAGTTCAACTGCAGGTGTGAAAAGTCAAAAATACCCTTAAATCTAAATATGTCATTAATCTTTTTTTAGCATCTTAACCACTTTAAATAAAAAAACTCAAAACTAGAAAATTGTAGATCTCGTCGAGATCGATAATTTTTATAAAAATTATCTTCATTTAATTTCACAAAAAAAGATACGATTTTTCTAAGATATATTAATCATATCAAATCATATTTTTTTGCGGAATTAAATGAAGATAATTTTGATATGAAAATTATAGATCTCGATGAGATCTACAACTTTCTAGGTTTGAGTTTTTTCATTTGAAGTCGTTAAGATGCTAAAAAAATTAATGACATATTTAGACTTAAGGGTATTTTCGACTTTTCACACGTGCAGTTTGACGGCGTTAAAACCCAAACTGACGGTAGTGGTATGAAGGGCACAAAAAAATTAAAACAGTGACGTTGAAGACCGCTAAACTTTTTTAGAAACATACAGAGTATTACGATCTTTTTAATGACATACAAGAATTCCCCCATTCTTTGTCATCCCTCCTGCCAAGCAAAAAAAAAAAAAACAGGAACCATCCCATGGAATCGTCCCATCCCTCAAAAACTGGGGGCCTGTGTCCATCCCATCCCATGACTCTGAACTAAAGGCTAGTACCTAACTTTCTCAGGTCTGGTTTAGATTATAAATTTTTATAAAATAAATACTGTAGCATTTTTTTTGTTATTTAACAAATTTTATCCAATCATAGTTTAATTAGACTCAAAAGATCCGTCTCGTGATTTACAACTAAACTGTGTAATTAGTTTTTTTTTATTTATATTTAATGCTTCATACATACGCCTAAAAATTGATGTGACGGGAAATATGAAAAATTTTGCAAAATTTTTGCAAACTAATTTGGACGTCAGAAGATCTAAACAAGACCTCAGTATGTATACTCCCTCCGTTCCAGAAGATTCGTGAAATTTGGAAGCTCAGGCGCCGGCGGCGGGCCCCCCAGGTATGTATACGTAGTAATAGGTATTGTACGATAGATCAGATGCCGTGCCGACTCCGCGTTCGGCGTTTCCCGTGATCACGCGCCGCGAGTCCGCGACCTTCCGCGTTCCTTCCTGCGTGCGCGTGCGGCAGGGGCGTGCCGACGTTCCAAAATTCCAGCAGAGCGGAGAAGCGAGAAGGCCAGGCCCCAGGCGGCGTTCCTTGATCGGCTGATCGCCTGATGCCCTGATCCCTAATTCCCTCATCTCTGTTCGGCTTCGCAGTAGGCTGCAGCAAGGTACGAATGTAGATTCTTAAATTTAGTTACTAATTATTTCTCACGTAATCCCTACTTTATAAAACTGTAGTTACTAATTATTTCTAAATTTTACCATATCGTCAAGAAAATATCCTTCTGGCCACGACAAAAGAATGAAGAAAAAATGAATAGATGCTTTGGTAGAATCACAAAGAGAGGCATTTTATAAATTTCTTAAGAGTAATACAAACACTTCAAGAGATCCACGTGCATTGATGATAGTTGTTGTGGATGAACCAGCTAATGCTGATCTAGAAGATCATAACCATATGGAAGATAATGTTGACATCGACATGGATGAACATAATGTGAGTGATCATGAGCACGTATTTCATTCAAATAAAACAGAACCTACTATTGTTGATGAGGATTCAGTTTCTATTTTCTATTGATATATTAGGATAAACTTGATATCAAAGCAAGGGATACATTAGTTGAGAAGGGGCCTATAAGAGAAGAGAATTTTAATTTTCTTGGGATGTCAATGATAGACATTTTTCCTATGCCTATTACTCTAGAAAAATGAGCAATGGAGAGGTACATGATAGAAAATGGTTAGTTTATTCCAAACACTTGGAAGAGCATTTTGCTTCTGTTGTAAGCTTTTTATTTCTAACAAATGCAAGAGTTTATTGGGGAATGATGAATACATAGATTGGAGGCATGTCAATGAGAGGTTGAGGGAGCATAAAATTAGTGTTGAGCACATTACCAATATGACCTCATAGAATCAGGTGAGAATTAAGCTGAAGAAATAACAAACAATTGACAAAGAGTTGCAATAACAAATCTCAAAGGAGAAAGAGCGCTTAAGGCTAGTTCTATTAAGAATAGTTGCTATTGTGAAATTTCTTGATAAACGTAATTTGGCTTTTAGAGGATCTAATGAGCAGCTTTACAATGACCAAAATGGAAATTTTTTAGCTTGTTGTGAGATGGTTGCAGAATTTGATCCGGTAATGCAAGACCATCTTAGATGTATTCAAAATAAAGACATTCATCATCGTTATCTCAGCCACAAAATTCAGAATGAGTTGATTTCTCTTATGGCCTCTGATATTACAAATTCTATCATCAAGATTGTTAGAAGAGTCAAATATTTCTCCGTTATTCTTGATTGTACCTTAGATGTTAGTCACAAGAACAAATAAGTTTATTGGTTCGATGTGTTAAGATGGTTAATGGTAAAATTAAAATAGAGGAATACTTTATTGGTTTCTTGAAGGTAGATGGCACATCTGGTCTTGGGCTCTGCAATGTTTTGGTTGATGCCATTAAGTCATTTGGTCTTGATATTGATTACATTAGGGACAAGATTATGATAATGGTTCTAATATGAAAGGAAAACATAAGGGGGTTCAAAAGCCGGCTGCGTGAAATTAATCCAAGAGCCAAATATATGTCATGTGTTTGTCATAGTCTTAATCTTACGCTTTGTGATATGGCCAAGTCTTGCACTAAAGCTGTCACTTTTTTTGGAATTGCGCAACGAATATATGTATTATTTGCTGGTTCTATCGAAAGATGGAAATTTTTGCTTGATTATGTTGATGGTCTATGAAATCATTATGCAACACACGTTGAGAGAGTCGGATTAAAAGTGTTACATCAATTAGATATCAAGCTCCTTAGCTAAGGGCAGCTTTACTTGCATTAAGTGAAGATCCTGATGTTGAAAGGATAGGAGTGATGTAAAGAATTTATTTGATGTGCTTAGCAGCTTTGAATTTATTTTTGGCATGGTTATTTGGCATGACATTCTATTTGTTGTCAATAAAGTGAGCAAAAAATTACAATCATCATCTATGTGCATTGATTCTGCCATGCGACAGATAAAAGGCATAATGAATTACTTTGAGACCTATAGGAATGATGGGTTTGCTTCTAGTATGGTCATTGCTAAAGAAATTGCATCTGAAATGGGTGTTGAGCCATCATTTCATGTAAAGCGTCGTGCTTTTAGAAAGAAATATTTTGATAAAAATAATAGTGAGAAAGTCATCTTGCAAGCTGAGAATGATTTTAAAGTTAGTTACTTTGTGGTTATGGTTAATATAGCAAAAATATCATTGAAAAGTAGATTTGTACAACTCGAGGCATTTAATGGGATATTTGGGTTTTTAATGAGTTCAACAAGCTTGGAGTTCTTAAATGGTCCTGAAGTTAATTTGTGTTGCACAACATTGACAATAGCTTTCTCTCATAATGGCTATCTGACATTGATTTAAATGATCTAATTTCTGAGCTAAGGGTTCTACAATCCGCTTTGCCAAATAGAGAAATGATAGCTATGGAGATTTTTGAGTTTGTTATGAAAGGTGTTTGTTATCCTAGTACTTTCATTGAAAGGTGTTTGTTATCTATGCCGTTGGACTGTGGCATTAGCTAAAACTTCTCATTGTTAAAGAACTATTTGAGATCTACAATGCATCTTGTTTACGGTTTGATCCACCGGTATTGCTCTCCCTCTAAGTTTATTGTTCATCAAACCCCTGAAAGAAGCTTCTCAAAATTTAAATTGTTAAAGAACTATTTGAGATCTACAATATCACAAGAGAGGTTAAATGGATTTGCAACATTATATATTGAGAAGCGATTGTTAGATGAGATTAATATTAAAACCATCATCGATGACTTCGCATCAAGAAATATTAGAAGAAAATTTTAAGGTAATTTAATATATATACAAATTATTTCATATAAATATTGCTTTTGTATTTAGTTAATTGCTTATTAGTAATATTTTATATATATATGTATGTATATACTATCAAGAGGTAGTATTAGTAGTATTATCATATTATATAAAAAAGGTCTAAAAATTTAGGTTCGTTCCCGGTCAAAAAGTACTCAGGACCGGCCCTGCGTCGTATGGGTGTCCTGTCTCGTGGCTGACATGGATTTCACCATAGCGCCCAAGCAGATGGCGCGCGTTGCTGAAAAACCCAGATACAAGTTCCTTGTGCGAACTATAGATCATATTGACAGAGCAGATAGTTAGTATGATAACTGAGAAATTATCTCAAAAAAAAAAGTCAAGTGAGGAACAACATTTTTTCATTTGTTTGTTTATATGCGACAAGAAGTTAGAGCTAACTACTCCCTCCGTTCCAAATTATAAATCGCTTTGATTTTTTTTGGTATATCCATTTTGTTATACATTTAGATCCCGTTCGCTAGTCTGAAACTTGGTTGAAACTGGCTGGTTGTTGTGAGAGAAACACTGAAGCGGCTGAAATTAGCTGGTTGTTGTGAGGAGGAATAGCCGGCTGGTCTGAGTAAAACCAGACCAGCGAACACACAATCTTAGATAAATAATATGTCTAGATACATACTAAAATGGATAAAACAAAAAAGTCAAAGTGACTTATAATTTAAAACGAGGAAGTACTTGCATAGAAATCCTATAGTTACTTCCAAGCCTACCATTTCAAATGTATATGAAAAAGCTTCTATTTACACGTTACAATAAATCAACAATAGTTATACACAATATTGTTCTTTATTCTCGTTGCACTAAAGGTTGCTGCATGTTATCTTTTTTCCCCTTGATTGAGGAGATACGATATTTTTTATTACTTTTTTTTCATTTTTTTGGTTGTCATGTTATCTAAGCATAATGAATTCTTGCTTGAGGTCTATGGAATTACTGTAAGCAAGCGCTCTGGTTTGTTTCGGAAAACAAGTTTAGTGATAAACTGTACCTAGAATAAAAATGAAAGAGAAAACAATTTCGTAGTCATGATATCCAATGCCATTTGCTTGATTATTACTTATGTGCATAGGTTTTCGAATAAACTCTTTTGTATGAACAATAAGACAGACTATCATGCAACTAGTCCAATTATGAAGAAAAAAAAAAAAGCCAAACATACTTGATCATGTGCACCTCACACTCTCCTCCTCTGAAACCTGCATGTGGAAAATTAAAGACAACTCGGTCAAACCGCCTGTTCTTCAGGTCATTGTGAAGCTTCATTGTTTCCACATCCACGCCATGCAAAACCCTAGCCCCAAATCTTTTCAGCTCCATTATATTTGACCCTGCGTTTCTGTACTTGATCGTCAGAGCCCCTGAAAAAGATGTTTACCCACAGCAAATGCAGATAAATTAAAGGAATACAGCTAATGACGGTCAAATCTCACACTCTGCATCATTACTCCTATGAGCTCAGGTAACCATATCAACTCAATGCATACAGATACGGGGGTCAAGGGCCTCAAGGCCCAAAATTAGAACGAAACAAACAGGGACATTTTAAAGGTCCCCCTGCCGGCCTGCCCCACCTAACAATGGGTCCTGCAAAAAATTGCTTTAGTGGCCTTATTTACCTATCTATCTCCCTTGACAGGAAAAATAACTGTTGACTTGAAAACTGTGATAAAGTGGGTTACAAGGTATAAAAACCATATCCGCGTAAAAAAAGGTGTAAAAAAACATAGGAAAGCACTAGGGAGGTCACTCTAAACAGGTGATCATAAGAACGGACCATGAATACGATAGAAGTGAGTAACCTAAACAATACAAAAATGGATTATGTAATATGTAACAAGGTTCATAAACACACATTGCACTCAATTCAACCAGTTTCCAATATTCAAGTTCATACAATGCAAAATACTATCTTAATGAAGTGTAACTCCACAATTTTGCAATTCATAGATGTGCCAAAATAAGTTTTATAACTCAAGCAATTATCAAGTTCTTTGACCTAGGCACCTAGATGCACACCTTAGCTTAGATTGTTGGATGTTGCACAAATGTCGTGTGTGTTTTTTTGAAAGAAAAATTTAACACAAATGCAGGTTGTCAAAAGGTTTCTCTTAAAATTTTGAAGATAGCCTTTTTATCTCTTCAAGTTCAAACGCAAAGGTGGGTTCTTTCAAAATGTTTTCCTTAAAAAAAATTTAAGACAGCCTTCTACCTCAGTTCGGCAAAGGCAAGTGTGCATCAAAGGTAAAGCTTTATTCAAACAGCACAACTATCAACATTATATACGGCTCCTTTGTGTTAAACCACCCAGAAGGCAAAGAAGAAAAAAAAGGGCCACAGGAAAGATGGCAAGCTACACATGATGAGAAAGCAGAAGCAATCAACGAACCAACAGTAGGTGTCGAGGGATGTGGCGACGAGGTTGGCGCCGGAACCAAACGCGGTGGCCAGCGCCAGAGAGAAGGAGAAATCGCCGTCGCCGACGAGCAAAATGCTCTGAGCAGAGGAGTAATGCTTCACCCTCTTCACCCTTTCCTCTCCTGCTGTCGGCTTCTCCATCCCAGCAAGGCAGCAACCTCAAATGGCGCCTTTTGGACTGTGGTGCCAGGTGTGTGCCTGTGTGTTCTCGGCGGGCTGCTGGCCTTCTTATGCCCGTCTGAGGCTCTGAGCCTCCTCGGCTCCTCACATGGTGCCACTGTTCCATTATTATATAGAAAAAATCACACGGTGTCATTGGCTGTAGGACATTATAGGAGTTTCTAACGTTTTTTTCATTTTATTTATTTTGCTTTACATTTTCTCTACCTATGAATTAAGAGAAATGCTAAGTTATTTTATATGTTTTGCATTTGTATTTTTTTTCTCGAATACGCTAGAGACTTGTGTATCATTGCATTAACATAAAGGTAGTACGAACGACTTTACACTGATGATTTGCATTTATATTATCTTAAGCTTTTGTATGTGACTTAGATGTAATCATGTAAATGTCCCCCTAGGTCTATATATACATACAGAGCACTTAGATGTAATCATGATTTAAGGGAAATGCTAAGTTATTTTGTATGATTTTGGAAGTATACAACATAGCTAGACGACTTTGCTACGGTACTCCCACTGCTCCATAAGAGGTAAGATGTCAAACAAATTTTAGGCCTTAATTTTTGGAATACACACAGCCAATAAGTAAATTAATATAGAATTAAAGTATTTAAAAAAAGAAAAGGTAGGAAATCTCAAGACCTAAAATAGATTGATCTTTGTCTGTTAGGTTTCTAATTGCTATGCATTTTTTTTAAAAATGAATCAGCAATGGAGCTGTCGATTATATTAAAAAGTAGATAAAGCCAAACTGAACAAATAAAAAAAAGGTACAACTCCGGTCGGTTGAATTGGGCCATCAACACGCACCGAACTCAAACTAAGAAAACAACAACAGCTCTGGCCGATCGAATGAGACATCAACACGAGCCACACAGGCCGAAAACTCAGCACAGACACGCTCAACGCTCGACAATTGCAATACATATTAGATCTAATTGATAGATATCTTCTATAATGTTGTTCTTATCTTAAAAGAAAAAATATAAGTGTATATTTCTGCTATTACCTCTTATGTGATAATAGTCATCTACTCCCTCCGTCCCTAGATAATTGTTGTTATTGGTGTACGTGCTATAAGTTTGACTTGATTTGTAAAAATATTTGTAACATTTATATCTCCAAATAAATTTATTAAAAAACTAGATTTAGAGATCTTTGCAATGGTATTAATTATGTACCATAAATATTAATATTTTTTAATATATATTTAGTCAAAGTTGTTTCTCGGTAAACGAAAACAACAGATATTTAAGGACAGAGGGAGTAGACTATTAGTTGTTTTGGAGTAGCAATACGGATGTAATCACGTAAACGTCCCCTTATGTGGTAGAGTTTGAGTGCATGCGAGGTGCATGTTCAATTTGTGCATGCCCTATCCTACTACAAAAATCGTTTTTGTAAAAATTGTATATCATGTTGTGAATTTTTCAAAGGAGAGTCAAGATATTCTCAAACTAAATTGCTTATTTATTCAAAAGGATTTTGAGAGAGAGAGAGAGAAATTGTTAAAATTGGAAAACTATCAAATGTCATCCCAACTCGCACCCTCTCTAGCCAGTCTTAAGGTGCCTCATCAATGGCATTTGTAGAACTTCCATGCGACTGTTGTTTTTTTTATATAAAAAAAGTGAAGTACTCCTGCAGTACTGTTTTGAAAACTGCGAAACCTCATCGAACCTGCACTCACCCTGGCAAATGACATGGGCGATGGAAACACGCGTTCCTGTTGCGATCTACTCTGTACTTGATTCAATGGGATATGGTCATATGGATATGTGATGTCTAGGCTGCCAGAAACTGCGTGCATTATATTCCGAGCACCGAAAATTGTAACCATCCCTTCATTACCATTAAAAAAATGATCTTCCTTTCATTGCTATTATGCTTTCCTTTCCCTTGGCTGCCATTCCGTCAATTTCATGCGTAACAATGTTTGGAGGAGCTTTGTTGTGCCTCTCGGATCAATGTGTGCGTGGCATGATGGATCATCGATGGGATGGGGTTGAGTATTTCAGCTATTAACACTTATGAGAGGGCGGCCATCGGCATCTACGCCTCCGCCTCCCTAGCCGCCAATTATCGCGTTGCACGGTGCACGTGGCCACGCAAGGGCGGCTCGCGATTTGTAGAAGCGCGCTGGGTCACGTCACATTTGTATCTCTAAATAAATTTATTAAAAACTAGACTCAGGATGGTTATATTTGCGGCGGGACCTCGTCGAGGGCCACCGCCTCTGGTTAATATTTTTAATATATGGCTTTAGCCAAAGTCGTTTCTCGGCGGCGAAGGACTCCTGCTCGCCGGATTTAAGGGTGGAGCATCCCTAGCTGCTTCTTCCTTCGAGGCCCAAGATCCGAAGCTGATCGAATCGCTTTGATGGAAACGCCAACGGCCGGAGAACGTGGAGATGAGGAAGTTTGCACGCATCGTGGCGCATCTCGCCGGCGACCTCCACCTGCCCCAGTTTCCTGGTGCTATCCAATGCGTATCCTACCTTCTGCAGGACGAGACCACGGTGGCTTACAGCGACCAACAAGGGCTCACCCAGCTCCGGCTCTCATAGATTTCAAGGTCCTTGGACAATAGGAAAGCAAAAGGATTTTAGAGCAGTAGCATCAACTGCTCCTCGACGGAAAAAGAAAATGGAATGTGTGATTGTCTTGTCGTCAGATAAGCTCCTGTGCTCGCTCAAGACTGCGAGTTTCGTTTGCCTGCTGCCGGAATCGTTGGTTGGTTTGGAACTTCTCGGCGACTGTTGTTGTTGCCGGAGCCCGTATAAAAAAGCTAGCTAGCTAAGCGCGCGTCTGCTGCCTCTGTATCTGTTTAGCGAGGTCCATGCCCCAGCTCTCCTGCTCGGTGCATATAATCGTCGGCCGGCCATTAACGCCCTTGGCCATGGCCTCCTAAATAAAGCAAACTCACCTCCTTCCTTTGCTAATTAGCCTCCGTGCCTATCTTGGCCTTTCCAACCACCACCGTTCCGTTCCATTCCATTCCTCTCCGTCGCGATGGCGGCTGGTTTTGCCGCCGCCGCCGTCACACGCCGGCGCAGAGCGAGCGCATTGACGAATAAAGGCGTCAATGGCCAAAAGGCATCCCTGCCGCTGCTGCCGTCGCTGCTCGTGCACGCCGTCGTCCTCGCCGCCTGCTTCTTTCACCCCTGCACGGCGCAGCCGCAGAGCCGCACCGAAAACATCTCGCCGATCGAGGCCGCAGTCCGCGCCCACGCGTTCGAGCTGCTCCGCGACACCGCCAGCACGGGCCAGCTCATCGACCTGCCCCTGGAGTCAGTACCTGAGCTCGCAGAGCGCATGGACGTGACCCAGCGCGGCCCCACGCGTGCAGAGCCGCCCCTGCGTGGCCACGTGCAGCCGTGCAGGTCGCAGTCTGACTTGGCGGAGGCGCTGCAGCGTGCCTGCCGATGGCCGCACTCTCCAGAAGTGCCGCGCCACCGCTGCGGCTACCCAGGCACTCAACCCCCATCCCATCCATGATCCATCATGCCACGCACACTTGATCCAAGAGGTACAACAAAGCTCCTCCAAACGTTGTTACGCATGAAATTGATGGAATGACAGTCAGAGAAAGAAAAGTATAAATCAATAGCAATGAAGAAAAGATCATTTTTTCAATGACAATAAAGGAATAGTTATAATTTTCAGTGGCAAGGAATTTTCTCTTATATTCCTGGCTTCCTGCACGCTGCACCTTGGTATGGCTATTGTCCAATCAAGGTGTCGTCACGTTTGTCAGGTTCCATGGCAGGGTGACCTTTGCGTCAACTGTTAACTGTTACTACTCCTTCAGTCAACAATAGCTATAGTAATGTCTAGGACAAAGTATTGTAGCTATACTGTTAACTGTATGTTTTTCAGCCGGATTTATTATCAACAGTATTTTTCTCTTGTAATAAATCAGGATCAGCCAAACTTATCAGCCAAAAACAACCAGCGAACAGACCGTATATCTATTTTACGTCAACAACAACTACAACTAAATTGGTGCTTCATTAAAAGGATATAATCAGTGCAGAGAGTTCCCGCTCTATGCAAGGTTCGAAGAAGGATGTTAGTGGCAAGCCTTATCCTCGACTACGTAGTATGAGGAGACCGCGACTCAAACCCGAGACCTTCCGATCACATACGATAAAATACCGCTACCAGCACCAGTTGCTACAGTTAACAGTACTCCGTATTTGACAGTAACCCCATACAAAGTACTATAGTACTCCCTAAAGGCCTAAAGTGAGGTTGCTACTTGCTGCAGCTAATATGTGCTCCTACAGGCAGCTCCATTCAGCAAAAACAGGCTAGCTGTCCAGGATTACATCTTCACGCAGCAACTTGGCTCAGCGTTCCTTTCGCTGCTGTGGCAGCGTTTGCCACACAAAAGGGCCCTACGCCCCTACCTATACACAAAACACAAACCTGTTCGTTCGTTGGTTTTCACCGGGCTTTATTAGTTATGATATAGTATTTTTTTCTCTCATAACCCATCAGCACCGGCCGAGTTTATCAGTCCAGAAACCAACCAGCGAACAGACTGACTGTGGTCATATCTGGGAAGACCAAGTTCCTCTACTCGACCGAGGACCGACCCTCAATGCGGTGACAGATGCATCACCAAACTATGGAGTCTGGACGACGTCCCACTGGGAACCGGATGCGATCATCCTGCGGAGCCGATCCTGTTTCTGAAGTCTGAACAGACTCCCATTGGCGGGCTTCCAAGAATCCAGAATAGTTCAAGCTGGTTCCCTCGGGCATTTGTTGCCTTTGCATCCCGTACTCCCTGACCAAACTCCTTCGGTATTCGGAGGCAAAGTAGTCAGTGTTGTTTCCTAGCGGTTCAGCAATGATTCTCCTTTCATACCGTGGATGCCGCTGAGGAGCAAGCAAGCTGGTCCTTGAGATTCTGCCCATTGATGAAGGAATGCGGCCTGGAGTGCCCAAAGCATTCATCAGCGATGACCGTGGAGTGCTGAGCAGTGAACGGGCAGTGCCCGGTTGATGAAAATAAGGAGCCCTCGGTATGCGAACGAAGCTTAGTGGCATACCTGGCTGTTGCCTTTGATCAACTACATGAGATGGCAGAGTCATGGGCACCGGAGCTGTGTAAGCTCGTGGAACAAACTGTAGCCCAGACCTTGGCTGAACAAGTGGAAGAGGATGGCATGGCCTTGTGTCGCGGGTCGCCTCCAACGGATGAGATTGCTCCAGCCCTTCTCCCATTCCGTTTCTTCCGCTTCTTCAAGTCTCCAATTTTGAACTTGAATGTGAAAGAGTTACCTAGCGGGAAAGGTTTGTCACAGGCTGGACCATCTCCTTTCTTCTGGTGATAACCGGGATAGTCTTCCTTTTGGAAACCTACTTTCTCAACCAAAATAAGCGAAAACTCAGCCGCTAGATCCTCAAGACCCCATTCGTCGTACCACTTTCCTGTCTTGTGACTAACATGGATTTCACCATAAGGCCGAAGTAGGTGGCGTGCATTGCGGAAAAATTCCCTCACCAGTTCCTTGTGCAAGCTAAAAGGTCATAGCAACTGGTCAATAAGAATTTAGATGTATTATTCGAGAAAAAACAATAAGAATTCAGATAAGGAACATAAAGCTGCTAAATGAAGAGACGGTAAATTTTGGATAGGTTCTTGTTGTATTCTAAAAGCAACTGTCATAACAAAATAAACCATCTGGATAGACTTGTCCATCTTTTTTCATTAATCATGTGTAGAAACTTCTATTGACATATTACAAGTACAATTTTCTATAGTGTACATTGAGAAGGAAATAAAACCCATGAAGTGCTGCAAATAAATCCCATGTGCAATGCAACAGTTCATGAAACCAACAATGTTTGTTCTCAGCTTATTCTTGCAAGATTTAAAGCATATAAACATTCTCTTGCTTATGAACCATAGAAGTGAAATATGATATCTGCAACTTATTTTTGAAGGCATATGTAAGATGTTTTATATTCTTATTGCAATCTTAAGAACAAGTTTTTTAGCAATGACAAGTGGTGGTTACGATGGAAATTGAAACTGGAACAATTTGATTGAGGTTCTATCTTCTATCCAATGTCAGTTGAGGCTATAGGTGTACTAAACGAAAAAAAAGCATAACTCTTCATATAAAGATATAATCAAAGGAATACTAATCAACTCCAAAAATCATGACAAAACTAATCCACACGAGCAACAACAATGAGTTTATGAACACAGGATTTAAAAAATAGTTAACTGCAAAAGAAAAAACAACAAGATAGCGCACATACTTGATCATGTACACCTCATACTCTTTTCCTTTGAAGCCAGCATGAGGAAAGTTAAAGACAATCCGATCAAACCGTCTGTTTTTCAGGTCAGTGTGCAACTTCATTGTCTTCACGTCAATGCCATGCAAAACAGTAGCCCCCAAACTTTTCAGGCCTGTTATATTAGACTCGACTTTGCTGAATTTCTTGCGCAGAGCCTCTGTAAAATTGCCCACGAGATATAGAGAGGAGATAGATAAGTACAACTAAAAAAGGATAAAAAATATCACACAAACTATCCCCTTAAGATTAGGTAGGTGAGTCAGCTCAGTGCTACATGTGTCTTGAGCCAAAACTAGACTCAAGCAAACAGGAAATTCAGGTAGTACATACAAATTTTCTGGGACAATTTTATTAGGTAACCTGATATAAGATTATAGGTGCAGGTGGGTGCGTGGCGCATGCGCAGGGGATTTCTAGGCACATTGGTATTGTTCTAGGTAGCTATTTTTCTTTACTTTTCTTTCCAATCTGGTCATAAAACAATTGATTTGCTCACTTTGTGCTATTGTTTACCTTGATGAAGAGAAGTTGCTGATACATTGTGTTGGAGGTGCAATAGCAATGTGCAAACAACAGGCAAGGTGTTTCAAACATCTGATCATAGGAAGGGGTCAGAATAAAACGAAGTAACAAAACTAGACCTTTTCAACTGCACAATCAACTTGTCTCATAAACACACATTGTACTCGACCACTTGACAACATTGAAACTCCAACTATGTGAAATGTGAAAGGCAGAAAAACAAAGAAAGTTGCAAGAGTTCTAGCTCAATAGGTATGTTCGTAAATACTTATACTGCTTCTCCATTCCAAAATGTAGGTGTTATGATGGGCGTGCACTATGGACGGAGAAGGCCGGCTCGTGGCTAGGGCCACGTCCGGGATGGGCCTCAAGCCCACGTCGTCGCGTCGTATTAGCTATTATTAGAATTATTGGAATTACTACAATTTATTTCCTATTATTAGATGAGAGGAGTTATAAATACCTTGTAAGACTATTTTGAAAATTAAGCAGAAACAATCTAATTGTTTCCGGCTTCCCCTGGGAGCCGGAAGTCTCTGCCCTAGCCGTCTTCTTGCACCCTCGCTGCAGCCACGGCGCCGCCGCGCCGTCTTCCTCGTGCGCTTCGACCTCGCCCTCCAATCTTCCACACATACAATCTACGATCCCTCTCTAGCAGGACCAGAGTTCCTAGCAGCTTGGTATCAGAGATTCCAGGCACGATGACCTCCGCTCCGCTCAGCCACGTCGTGCCACCGCCGACGCCACCGCCAATGTCGTCCATGCCGCTGCCCACGGCATCCTCCGAGCTCTCAGCCGTGTCCACGTCCAACGCGCCGGGCGGCTCGCTCACCCTGGAAACCCTGGCCGGCGTGGTCGATCATATCAGCCACAACATGGACCAGCTTGGCCGCAACATGGTCGCCATGCAGGCGTCCTTGGCCGGCCTCCTCCCGCCGCCTCCCCCATCACAGCCGCCGCCTCCATCACTGCCGGACGCGCCTTCGGTGTCGCAACAGACGCGCTTTTCCTACGGCATGCCCCATAGCGGGCCGGGGGTGTCTCTCCATCTGCTTCAGTGGCCGGCCTCCCCGTCCCCCATACCGTCGTGGGCGATGTTGGGGTCGACTTCGACGCCGGTTTACACGATGGCCACCTCACCTACGCCGTCCGTGGTGACTCCCTCCGTCGCTCCTCTAGCCCCGACATCCGGCACGTTCCACGGTGGCATGGACGGGACACTCTTCTACGGCTGCGCTACTGTGTCGGCCACACCAGCGGCCCTCGGGGGCAGCAGCACTTCGGCCACCCCGACCATTGATCACGAAGCGCACGGGGGCACCCCAGCGCCGCCGCGATTCTACAAGCTCGAGTTCGCCACCTACGACGGCGGAGTGGATCCGTTGAATTGGCTCAACCAGTGCGAGCAATTCTTCCGCGGCCAGCGCACTCTCGCCTCGGATCGCACATGGTTGGTGTCTTACCATCTCCGCGACGCTGCTCAGACGTGGTACTACGCACTCGAACAAGATGAAGGCATGCCTAAAAGGATCAAGATGCCCAAGAGGGGGGTGAATTGGGCTAATTCTAAATTTCTTCGCAATAAACAAGTCCTATGGTTAGCCCAATTAACCCCTTGTGCCTAGAGAAGTGTTTCTATTGATCTAACGCAAAAAAGTTTAGCAACCTAGTTCCAATCCTACTCTAGCATGGCAATTCTAGAAATGTAAATGACAAGAATTGAAATGCTCAAAGTAAATGCTCAAAGTAAAGAGAGGAGAGAAAATGCGGCGATGTTTTCCCGAGGTATCGGAGAGTCGCCACTCCCCACTAGTCCTCGTTGGAGCACCCGCGCAAGGGTGTAGCTCTCTCTTGATCCGCGCAAGGATCAAGTGCTCTCTACGTGTTGATTCTTTGACACTCCGTCGCGGTGAATCACCCACAACCGCTCATAACTTGAGTTGGGTCATCCACAATCTCTCCGGATGATCACCAAGCTTCCAATCACCACCAAGCCGTCTAGGTGATGGCGATCACCAAGAGTAACAAGCATGAACTCTCACTTGACCACAACAAGCCTAGGGAGAAGGGTGGATGCACACTTTGCTACTCTTGATCTTCACTAATGAGGGCTCTCTTTGAATTCTCAAATCTCAATCACCTCACTAGGACCTTGCTCTTCTTGGCACTCTCTAAGGTGTGTTTTAGCTGTTGAAATGAGCAAAAGTAACTCCACACACTAGTGGAGCTACTATTTATAAGACAGCCTAAAAAATGAACCGTTATGTGCCTCTGCGGGGTGACTGGACGCTCTGGTTAGTTCAACCCGCACACCAGTGTTTAAGAGTTGACCGGACGCTGGCAGGGTCCGGTCACCACTGACCGGACGCGTCCGGTCGCAAATATCCCTCACTGGAACCTTACTGTACTCGACCGGACGCTGAACCCCCAGGGTCCGGTCAGCACTGACCGGACGCGTCCGGTCACAGATTCTCTTTTCTAGAACCTTACTGGAGTCGACCGGACGTTGGCCCTCAGCGTCTGGTCACTTGACCTCTCCAGCGTCCGGTCAAACCGGACTAGTTCACCTCAGTCAAATAAACTGACCGGACCCTGTGGCCAGCGTCCGGTCAGTCTTTGACCCTCCATTCACTTTCAACTCTCGATCATTTGTGAATGAAGTTTGCTCCAAAGGATCTGAGGCATATTTAGGAGCTACCTAGTGCTAGTTTCAACAAGTGTGCACCACACCTAACTCACTAGACTTACCTAGGTCAAGCTACCCATCCATACCCCCCTTAATAGTACGACCAAAGGAAAAACAAAGTCCTAAACTACTCTAAGTGTCTCTCCAACTCTAATCGACACTTAGAACTAGTCATCCTTAACCTTGTCGTCCATCGTTTGAAAACCGAAATGATTTCCATCGTAGGGGCATGACAACCTTGATTGCCCAATCAATCTCCATTACCGTGACCTAACTTAATTGCCTCTGCAAAACACACGTTAGTCACAGTAATCTTATATTGTCATTAATCACCGAAACCCAATTAAGGGCCTAGATGGTTTCAATCTCTCCCTTTTTGGTGATTGATGACAATACAACCTCGAGTATGTGAAAGAGATGAGGTTTTTAACATGCTTGGATCATATAAGCTTTTAGCAATAAGAACAAAAGAGTTAGTCAAGCTTATATAACCCAAGCCATCATGATGTACTCAAATGATATGAAATAAGCATGAGTACAATAAGAAAGACTCATTTGCATCGGAGTAAAAACGCGGAAGCAAAGGCAAATGAGCATAGCTCAAGTGATATGACATATTAAAGAATTCAAAGTAGAGAGCACACATGTCATATATCACAATCACATAGATATCACTATCACATAGATATAATAGTATGCATGAAAGTAAACACACGAATGCATAATAGTAATAGTGTATCACACAAATAAAACTCCAAATGTATATAAAAGACTAATAGCTAACTAGCTCCCCCTAAATGTCGCTCCCCTGAGTCTACATACTCGAACCCTCTCCCCCTTTGGCGTCAAACACCAAAACCTAAGGGCTGGTCGGCGGGGCTGCAGCGGATGAGTCGGGCGCTAAAGAACGAGGAGCAAGATGAAACTAGGCAACATCATCATCTGACCTTGAGCTCTGTGCTGACTAACCCTCTATGGCTGGAAGCATCATTTCAAGCGGTGCAGGTCTAAGGTGAGGCAGTCTTTGCTGTGATCTTCTTGGTACATCTGTCGTAGGATAGGATGATGCAACAGAAGAAGGGAGCCTCTGAGTAGTCACGATGACTGGAGCTGCTGTAGAAGGACCTGGGGCATGCATATGTGGTGGTGTAGGCATCCCTGTAAACTCACTAAAAGATGCTCCAAGACTCTTGGAGACTGATGTGTCAGGCACAAATAGCGAGGATGACTGATCCGGTGTGAAGCCCATCTAAAGTGGTGTGAACTATGGGGCTACCACTAGCGAGGATAACCAATGGGACACCTGTACTGGGGGAGAAGCAAACTGAGCTAGAGGCTGTCCCTGACTCTGAAGCCCACTGGGCTGTACTGCTAGAGTCGTCGTAGTGGTGGCAGGCTGAGCAATCTAGGGTGAAGGCTATGGGCTATGGGGCCCCAAGAGCTGTCACTGCATTTGCATGAATCCCATAATTCGCCGCTTTGCATGAGTAGCGCTTCTTGATGCATGGCCGCTTTATTCTTTGGAGGACTGCTGGCTTTGTCATTGAAACTCATCTGATGAGCTTGGCCCGAGCAAAGTTGGCGCGGTCTCCTAAGTCCGCCTAGCCTGATCTGCGCATCCTCTCAAGAATAGCAATCAAAGCGGGGTCCGTCTCTGCGGGTGTGGTGGAGCTGAGCTGAAGCTGCCGGCCTCGCATCGTGTGTCGCATGGAGGCATCGAGGAATGGCGGTGTAGTCATCGTCTGAGCTGTCACTAGGCTCGCTCACCTCCTCTTGTGCCTCAAGTTGCTCCTCCTCGATGAGCGGCTATGCCTCGATAATCTCGCCCCTCTTGAGCCATGGACTCTAGTACAT